AATTGCTGCTGTTATCTCCTCCTCTGTTATAGGATAATTCATTCTTTCCTTTTGTTGATCAGTAATTTTTGTAACTCTCTTATCCTTTAAATATTTTTCTATAAGTCCATTCTGCACCTCTTCTTTGGCATATAGTTTAGTATAATAATCCACAAAAGCTTCTTTAATTAGTTTTTGTTGAAAGATTTCTTTCCCTCCAATATCAATACTATCAATAGTCCGTATACTTTGTTTTTTCCTCAATGTGTAAGCCAACCATCTGCCCGGTTTGTTAGCGTTGCAAAATGTATTATGCTTCGCGTATTGTAAACTTGTTGCAACTTGTTCCGCCATAAGCATTTGAAATTGGTCTTTCAAAAGTTTTATAGCACTTCGTATTCTTTCATCTGTTGGGTTTTTAATAAGTAACTGTTCTTTATTCTTTATTTCCATTTCCAACTCAAATCTTTTCTTTTGTCGGAACAATCTATGTTTAGAATTCATGTAGATGAGTACCCCTCTCATATAAGCTTTACTTGCATCCCAAACAATTTCAATTGGGGTACCTTTATTCAAATTTATTTCAAAAAATTCTTTCAAATGCTTTTTAAGTTCTATTGTATTTTTTTCATATCTAAACAAGTTCTCATTTAATCTCCAAGAACGTCTCTCAACCTTATCCATCTCAATTTCTATCCATACAGGGCTATGGTCAGTCAGAGTTCTTGGACAAATCTTTGTTCTTTTTGTCTTAACAAGTAGATCATTTGACAACAGGATAAAATCAATCCTAGAAAAAGATCTATGTCTATCCGAAAAAAAAGTGTAGTCCAATTCATTTGGATTATGTATTCTCCAAACATCTTTTAATTCCATATCTTCTTTCATATCAAAAAAAGTCTGTGGTAGTCTAATTCTAGACTTTGCCAAGCTCTTTTTATCTAGTTTAGAATCAATTACTCCATTCCAGTCTCCCATAATTAAAATAGATCTATAGTCCCATTGCAATATTTTAGTATGTAACATCTTATAAAAATAATCCTGTTGTTGGTTGGGAGCATAAATTCCAATCAAAAGAATTTGACCATTTGCTGTGAGCAATTCAATTGCTACAAACCTACCATCTTGATCTGCTTCTATAACTTTCGCTGTTAATTTCCTATATGAATTTGAGGTACCATTATTAACATTCTTGACAATTTCTCTGATGACAATTTTATAAAAATTATCTTTATGACTATAACATAGTGTAACTCTTAAACCGTTCAATCACATTTTCCAATTGTTCCATCTGTATATTATAACCAAAAATGTTAGACCACTTTATCATACATTCTTTCATTTGTTCTGTTTCAAATTTCGAACAACAAATTTTGAAATTCATTCATTTTAGCAATTACATATTTATCATTTGTACATAATTCAGTTTTCAAATTCAGTTTTACAGTTTCAAAATCATAAACCCTATTGTCTAAATTTTTATACTGTGATATTCTCTAATTAAATATAGAGGGGGGATAGAGGGAGTATTAGAAATTGAAACTTTAAAATAATGATACATAATCATATGTAATTAGAAAGAATATATGATTTTGTGTAATATTTTTAGAATTTTATTAATCCAATCTTTCGCCCCCCAGATACATTTAGCCATTTTTTGAATCAGAATTTTATCACAAGACTTGAAGAAATGTGAAAAAATTAAAAAATAATTAATTCCCAGATACAACATTGAGGAATGCAAATTAGGTCAGTTCATATTAAAATCCAAACCAAAAAAAAATTTTTTTTTTGCTTATCCTTAGTTAAATAACAAATAATAAAGGAGCATAAAATTGGAGATGAATAGAATAGGGCCTCAACATGATTCAGCTGTGTAGGCCAGTATTTGCATTGCCAGGAATATGCTTGGTGAGGCAGACGGGTCTAACCACATGCTCAGCTAGTTTCCCACTCATTGCTGGGTAGTGATCTCTTATTCTGTAATAAAGCTGCTTGTCTTTGGATATCCATTTATCTGACTCAGCATGAATGGATGGCTGGATGAGGGAAATAGCGGCCAGGTTATTCTTCTAAAGTCAGACAGAGTTCTTGCTCCAAACTGTTATTCATCAACATTGGAGCAGTTCATGTCTGGGAAAGTGGCAGCTTAATGTTCCTTGGAAAAGCCATGAAACTGAAATCAAAGTTGTACAAAGGAACCCCTTCCTTTCCTTCAGGAAAAAGATCCTGAAGGAAGCTGTCTCTGGAAGAGAAGATCTCTAAAGGTCAGACACTTCATCTTTCTTCCTAGCCCTGCAATCCCACAGTTCTGTGGCAGTTTTACAGAGGTCTTGACTAACGACAGAAGAGAGGCAACGATCCAAAAGTGAATAAAAATTCTCAATAGGAAGGAGTGTATGAGCTTAGCTGATACGTCTTCAGGGATCTATTAAATCTATAAATGTCCCATTTTTATAATAAAGCAATTTATATAGTTCAAGAAATTGGAATAAAATACTTAAGTTGTGGGGAAAATAGTTCTTTGAAGATTGTCCCTACAGAGAATTTTATTCTTTCATGCTTTCATGTTTGTATTGCTACTGAAAAGCACAGGTTGGTGGAACAGAATTGACAGAAGCTCCTTGTTTTTTTGAGAGAACAATGATCCCTATGAAAGCTTTGTTTTGGTCGCCAGGGTGTTTAATAGTAATACTCCGTGAATTAGTATATACTGCCATAATAGCGGACTAGAGTGTGTGCACTACTAATCATTGCCTAAGGCAACATCTGAACTAGGGAGAAGAAGGAGGCAAAAGAATTTCTGCCTCATGTAAAGCAGTCCTGAGGTAATGAAGGCAGGTGTTTTCAAGGCAATACTTGCTCTCCATGAGCAGAAAATGCACAATGTAATTTGTGCAGCAAGATATGAAACTAGTTCTGTCTTTCCTAAGGCTAACAGATCTGTTTTGCAAAATTCCAGACACCCACTAGATGGCAGAGTTGCTTGGATTTTTACAAACCAGATCTGATAGCCATAGCTTTCACCAGCACAAATGCTCTAGTTTACAAAGCATTGCATATCTATTATAAAATAAATGTTTCTATTATGGCATGAATCACTTATGATTGGTTACTTGGCACAAAATGTGCAGTAATCAGGACTTCCCCAATTTACATGTCAAATCCAGATGTTCAATCTCAAAGATTTTAGAAACAAGACACTAAACAGAATGGAGGGAATATGCCCAATGTCAATTAAAAGCCTATTCTGCCCCCTGCTGGAATCTAGTTCAACATATTGTCATTCAATTATTTGCAAACTGTTGAACAATGTAGTGTGGGGTTATGTGTGTGTGTGTGTGTGTGTGTGTGTGTGTGTGTGTGTGTGTGTGTATGTGTGTGTGTGTGTGGTGTGTGTGTGAGAGAGAGAGAGAGAGAGAGAGAGAGAGAGAGAGAGAGAGAGAGAGAGAGAGAGTGTTTTATACATTGTAATCCACTAATATAAACCATTCTTATCTTGGTAGCTTTTATTTATGCTGTGAAATACACAGTTCACCAACTTCAAACAAATTAGCCACATAGCAACAAAAGAATTACTGTACAAAAGAAAGTACTCTGAAAGATATAACTGAATTCCACATCTATTGAACATCCTTAGGCACAGTTTTAAATTATTAGTAAAGTATGATTCAGATTGTGAAAAAGTTAGATTGTATGTCAAATGGATGAAGAATTTGAATATTTAGGGTAGAGGTACAAAGTGGAAATTTGAACAGAAGAGCGTCAAATATTTTGAAAACTATACTTAGAATTGTTTTATTTTTGGTATGATGTTCCAGTTTTGTTTTCTAAAATGAACAATGCTTTTTCCCAAAAATGTTGAGGGGAAAAGGTTTTAGAGATTGGACCATTTTTCCTTTTTCAAGCGTAGCAATGTTGCATAGTACAACAGTACTGGAAATGTTTAAAAGTAGAATGAAAAAAAATTGGAAAGTTGTAATTCTGTTACAACCTGAATATTCTTATTAAATTGTGCTTAACCATATATCCCTTCAATAGATCCTATGTAATTTTAGTGGAAACATTCTTTGATTCATTCTTTGGAAGAAAGGCTAACTAAACTGTGAAAGTGTTCTTAAATAATATCCTAATTGAAAAATACATTGATTTAAAATTTAATTGTAATTGGAAACTATATAATGGACTATAATGTTCTATAAGAGCCATCTAAATATCTTGATTTGAGGATGTTTCAAATTATACTATCAGTATAACTTATAGTATTGATTTTATACTATTGTTTATGGACTTGTTACTGATTTCTGTTATGTTAACCATTTAGTTTTAAGTCCCATGGGGATATTTGAATGCTATTGAAACATCAGTTTTATAAGTCTTTAGTGACATATATGTTACTTTATTATCTTAGATTTTTTTTGTTTGCTCCGCTGTACTTTGTGCCATATTTCTTGTTCATACATATTTTTCTATATTTCTATATTCTATATTTTGCTATTATTTTCTATAATAGCAAATTATTCATTTAGTATTTCAAAAATACTAACTAAATTAAGAAAAAGTGGACAAGGCAAGCTGAAAGAAAAGGACAGAGCACATATTTTAGATCTGTGAATCAGGATTTCAGTGTGGCTCACCCAAATCCAAGGATACATATTTTTTAAAAAAGTTAAAATATAAACATATAAGATTTTTCAAAAAATACAAGAAGAGTTCCTTTAACTTCTTAAAACCAAATTAGTTATAGAAATAGGCCACAAAACATCTTGCTATTGCAAAGTTACCCAAAGTAACAATTATTGAAAAGAATCGACAATGTGGAATCTGTATTTCCAGAGCTCATTCTTGATTTGGTGCCATCAAATCAGTGTTGACTTATGGCACCTTATGGATAAATTCTGGTGTGTGTAACAATAGTAAAGGTGACCATGCACCTGGGCTCCACCAGTCCTTGTCTCCTATTGCCTTATCAGCCTCTTCCTCTTAATTGATAAGTTTTTTTTCAAATTTATCTTTTGCAGAGACCTGAGTGAGAACCTTCTTCAGGCTGTGCCCAGAAAGGCATTCCGTGGAGCCACTGATCTCAAGAATTTGTGAGTGACCATGGTAGATAGGATAGTGTGCCACTGCATCATGCTGTTGATTTTATCATTGATTATGTGCCATCAAATCACTTTTGCCTCTTAGTGCCCACCCAGGGAGATCTTTTTTTCAAATAACAGTATAACAGAGTTTGAAAAGATCTCAGAGGTCTTCTAGTCCAACCCTCTACTCAAGCAGGAAACCCTATAACATTTTAGACAAATGGTTGTCCAATCTCTTCTTAAAAACCTCCAGAGTTGGAGCACCCACAACTTCTGGAAGCAAGTCGTTCCATTGATTAATTGTTCTAACTGTCAGGAAATTTCTCCTTAGTTTCAGGTTTGTCAGGATGGGGTTGAGGGTTGTCCCCGAACTGTGAACCAGCTCACGAGCAAACACACTAGGACTGAAATAAAACTAGCAGAGGAGTCTTGTATAAAAATATACTTTACTTCAAAATGTTTAAAAAACACTATATCTTTAAAAAGGCACATTAATAACAAAGTCTTATCTTGGTTAAATGAAGCCAGGCCATCTCCCTAAATTCCTCTCCACAATACCGAAACAGTCCATAAAAAAAAACTAACATGACATTAAACAGCTTCGGTGTCGATACATCATCGAGGTGGTAGAAGGGCAGCAGCATAGGCTTCACAGCTAAAAGTCACCTGTGAAAAACAATTCAATCAGCAAACGTGGCTTGAAGCTCCTGGGAAGGAAACTGTCCAGCAGCAACAGTTCAGATGTTGGCTTGCGTGCTTCAACTCAGCAAAAGGCAAGCCGAAATTGGAGACTTCAAAAGGTTCCCAGCTATCTCAACTCACAGTTGCAGCTAGCTCCATGGGAGTATCTTTACACAGCTCTTCGACTCCTTTTCTGCTGCTATCTCTGCTGCAGCCGTCAGGACTTCTTATCTGAGTTCTCCTCCCTTCTGCAGCTCTGCTCTGGGCTCTGCATCCAGGTGCTTCAGCACTGGCTCTGCATCTAGGCCTAAACAGGCCCAAGTAGCAAGCAGAAAGGTCCCTGCTTATATGGGGAGTTAACCTGCAATTAACTAGGGCGGGGAAGGCTTGCAGTTAATTGCAAACAGGAGAGGGCTTGATTGGATCCATACTGTTTGTAACTGATCAAGTAGCTACAGCAATTCTGAAAACACTCGTGACAAGGTTGCTTTTCTCTTTGATAAGTTTCCACCCACTGCTTCTTGTCCTGCTTTCAGATGTTTTGGAGAATATAGATTGACCCCCTAAAATTTTTAAAAACAATTTTTAATTTTTAATTAAAGATTACACATAGAAAGAATGAAAACTGTACAATCTAAAACAATATAAGAATGAAAAGAAAAAGAGAAAAAGAGGTAACTTCCCTATTCATCCCAATAAGTACAATGTAAATAATTCATCAGCATACAGCATATACTCTCCTCACCTCATATCTCAATTATTAACTAAAATCAAAACCCAAGTTCTTGTCATTTGTTCTTTATCAGAAAGAAATCTATAAGGGGTGCCAAATATAACTAATTAACTATGTTAAAGTTGATCAGATAAGCCAATCTTATATTTCTTGTCTTTGCAGCTTCGGATTTTGTTTTCCTGCATGGAAACAGTGACAACTAGACATCCCAAAGAGTTTAATCTAGCCACTTCATAAACACATACCCATAATTAGTACTCTGAAAGATCCCGGGTTCTTCTTTAATAACATGTCAAGTGCTATCAAACAGGAGGGAATCATCATCCGATACTATATTGTCAATACAGTTTCATTATCTATTCATGTGGTTTTCTTGTAAAATAGAGAAGTGGCTTATCATTGCCTTTCTCATACAGTATGAAAGGATGGCTTTGCCATCCTCAGTAATCTCTCCAGTTCTTCTTATATCACTGCTGCTCAACATAAATACCCTGTTTCCCCCAAAATAAGACATCCCCTGATAATAAACCCAATCAGGCTTATGAGCGCATGGCAATAAGACCAAGCGCTTATTTCAGGGTTCAAAAAAATATAAACAGAGTCTTATTTTTGGGGAAACACGATACTTAACTTGCTTTAAATGGGCAGCCAAGTGACCTTCTGACGTGGGTACCCTGGTGGGAGTATGTACTCTTGGCATACGTATTGTTTAATCGCCCCTCCCAGAAACCTACCACTGAAATGAGGCAGCATAACAAGATGAGGCAGTTGATGATTTCATAAGCCTATGCAAAGGAAGATAAATAGGTTAAAAACAATGTCTGCCACTTATTATGCAATATTTGTGGATACTGTTCCACTCCAAATCATAATCTCCCCAGTCAAACCTTCCCATCATCGGTTCTTGCAGTTCTCTAATGCTCATTTCTGATCACAGGTTTCTTGTGTTCCTTCACTTCTCATCTACTAAAGCTGTGCTGATGTATGGAACATCTTATTGTACAATACATCTAGAATAGGTAGCACTTTTATCCTGTCTTTCTTCAAACAGGCAGCTGGACAAGAACCATATAAGTTGCATTGAAGAAGGGGCCTTTCGTGCTCTTCGTGGGCTGGAAGTATTGTAAGTATCTCTCTTAAGGAAATATACAAGAGTTGTCTTCGTAGTCTTCCCCAATCTCAGGATCTTCTAAATCTGTGGATTCTAAATCCCCAAATTATTAGTAGTAGTTATGCTGTTTGCAGAATTTTGGAGTTGAATTCCACATTCATCCAAGATGAAAAAGCTGTTTTTATCTTTTGCATCCCAGATTGAGCTACAGACTTAGAAGCTCATGGGCAATGTCCGTGATCACCCCCTTTGAAAGAGGATTTTGTAAGAGAATTCATAGAACCCATGACTTCCCTTCCATTTGTGGAGAATCATTTAGTAGATAAATAAATGGTTATGAAACTGAGAAGGGATCCCCCATGTGTGATTAATAGGAATTTGTGTTTCTACTTAACACTTAATCTGATAGTTTAAAGTGGCTCAAGGTGCCCAGCTTCCCCTCCCAGGTGTGGCCGATAAAGACAGCAGTTGCTTCCTCGTTTGGGGAAGGGATGGGACTGCTGTTTGGGGAATGGGAGAGTATTGTGATGGTGATGGGGGTGGGGGCAGAGGTGGTATTCCGCAGGTTCTGACCAATTCTGGAGAACCAGTAGTGGAAATTTTGAGTGGTTCAGAGAACCGGTAAATACCACCTCTGACTGGCCCCGCCCACATCTATTCTCTGCCTCCCGAGTCCCAGCTGATCGGGAGGAAATGGGGATTTTGCAGTAACCTTCCCCTGGAGTGGGGAGGGAATGGAGATTTTACAGTATCCTTTCCCTGCCACGCCCACCAAGCCACGCCCACAGAACCAGTAGTAAAAAAATTTGAATCCCACCACTGCATGGGGGAATATGGTGAGAGTCAGAGAGTCGGTTATTTCCAGGGATCATGAGACTGATGTTTGTTTCTGGTCTTGTGGTCAGCTCCTCGGTCTAAGCCCTGATATCCTGTCAGCAGATTTTTCAGAGGCTTTTAGCTGCTGCTTCTGAATGCAAATTTGGTTTGTAAGAAGGCCTCCCTTATGAGTAATTTAGTTACTGTTGAGGGGGCTGACTGGGCATGTATCATTTCCGGAGCTATATCCAGTTAGGTTTTGAGTCTGGCATCAGCTGAGATCCTGGGGCAGGGTGGAGCTGTGGCAATTGTCATGTGGGATGTCATATGGCTTTCAGAGCACTGTACTACATGTCACTGGTTATGATGAGGCCCTCCTGCTCATTAAGCTGAGCTGTAGGGATCAGTTGGGTTTGCTGCTCTTGTACCATTCTCCCTGCTGCACAGTTCTTTGCCTGAACTCTGTGACACCATTTCTGGATTGGGAATGGACCCCAGACTCAGGACCTTTTGATATCTGACAAACCACCTATGCCTTCCCCATTAGTCTGGCAGAGAATACTTGCTGTAGGTTCTGTCTGTCTGGAATTACATTTGGTGGTTCCCAGGAGGTGGGCCTTCTCTGCCATGGTGCCCACCTTGTAGAATCTTTTTCCTTGAGATTTTTCAAACAATTTTTTTAATTGTGACTGTTTTAATGTATTTGTTTTTAATTAAGTTTAAAGTCACTTTCTTGTGAAATGGACTACTATACAAATATAATAAATAATACTGTAGATGATAGATAGAAATAGATAGATAGATAGATAGATAGATAGATAGATAGATAGATAATAGATAGATAGATAGATAGATAGATAGATAGATAGATAGATAGATAGAATAAGACAGTGCATGCATTTCAAGTATTAAGTGATGCTCTTCCTTTTTCTCATTCCTGCAGGACTTTGAACAACAACAATATCAGCTCCATTCCCATCTCCAGCTTCAACCATATGCCCAAACTGCGTACTTTGTGAGCACATAAGGAAATGGCTTCTGGGCATGATAGGGTGGGGGAGGCAGAAGATAACTGACTGGGTATCATATATATCATGAGGAACCAGAAATTAATAAATATAAGAGGTTCTGATGGAAATGCTTATTGACAACTTTAGATTCTGCAGATTACCTTTAGGATTAATGTGTTCACAGTATGAAACACTCCCAACATGCTGGGTCTTATATGTGGACCTCTAGCCAAACTAAAGTACTTTGGAAAACTAAAGAGGGATAATACTGGTAGTTCTTGGATAGAAGAACACCAGAAAATCTCAGGGCTATTGGCTGGAACCGAAAGCGAAAAACAAAAACAAAAACTTGGTGAAATCATGAACCAATTCTTACTATTGCTATAAAAACTACTTGTACAAATCCAGGTAGACACTAAAGCTTGACTTGTGAGACACCATAATAACATGGGAAGATCTTTAAAAGTTTAGTTGTGTGCCCAAGGACATCTAATTCAGACAATCACAAAACCAGTGAAATCTCTTTTTGGATGTTCAGGCAACATATACTAAAAAAATTACCCTTTGGGAAACATAGAATCCCACCCAATTTCAGAAAGTATCTAGTATCCCACAAGATCTAGCAAGACATCTATCATCAGTAGCCTCTCCCCCATTGGCTTCGCCACTGTTGCCAATCAATGCTTGAGAGATATGTTCTATGCTGCTCAGCTTTAGCGGTAACATCTCTAATGAAGATACTTGCTTCTTTGGCTACTTTTTCTGCAATTCTTTTTCTTTGAAGACTTGATATACAAAATTGGACAATTGATTGGGGTTATGATTCTTACCATACAACAGACTGAATGGAATTAATAAACCTGGACATGACTCAGTCTGAGGTTGCTTAGTGGATTAGTTGACTATCTCAGATGGCCTTTTTTTTGAGTGCCTTCCAGGAACAGTATGGGTGGGTGAATGTCGTCATTGAAGAGGCAAACAGAAATCTGGGTAACCATTTCAATCCACTTCTTAATGCAGGATTCATTCCTAATCCTATAGAATCAGAATCTCCTTTCCAGAAAATGTCCCCAAGTCAAATTCATTAGGTTTATCCTATTCTCTAGAACTGGCTTTGTAAATTAGAAGTATCAAGCAAAAGGTGCTTTTTTTTCTTTCTTTCCTCCCACACCTTTACTTTGTCTCTGCAGCCGCTTGCACTCCAATCAGCTGATCTGTGATTGTCATTTGGGTTGGCTTTCCCAGTGGCTCCGCCAGCGACCTACTATTGGGCTCTTCACACAGTGTGCTGGTCCTCCATCCCTTCGTGGTCTAAATGTTGCAGAAATCCAAAAGAATGAATTCAGCTGCTCAGGTCAGTGGCATCAGCGAAGTGCTAGGAGCTTTCTCTGTGGAAGCAAAAAATATGAATTTTCCTCCAAGCTTTGGAAGAAAATCCTCTTAGGATCCCCCAAAAAATCAGGAGGAGGGTCTTGTCTGCTTTCAGGTTTAATACAGACTAGCTAGCATTTGTACCAAAGAGTCAATGGTTAAGCCTGCCAATTTCCCTTCTATATATAACTATTCTTTCTTTTATGATAATATGATCTCAGGGAGCATTCCTATTTCTATTTTTAGTTAATGAACAGCAGAAATTGTTTCATGCTGCAACAATTACCTGTGGTTTTGAAGAGAATTCTGTTTGTCATGGGTTCTCTGGATTGATCAAATATAGCATACAAGGATCTTCATGTGAACCCAGTCCATTTAAAAATATTATTATTGTTTGAGGCATACCAAGGATAGAAATACATTTATTTCTCTGTAAGATTTACTCCTTCAGCCAGATAATTATCCAAGTGACATTCAACTAAAGCATGCATCAGAGCTTCACAACTACTTGTCCCTCCCCCTACCTTCTGGCATCTGCCTTCAAAGAAGGAGCGAATGTAGCAAATTGTTTTATGACCTAATTACTCTACCATTCCAAGGTGAAATATCTTCCTGCCTTCAATAATATTGTTTCTGTTAACATAGTAGCATGCATGTCATAAACTGTAGCAGGGCATAGAATTATTACTAAATTCTCCAAAGAGTTAAGCAAAGGCTTCAGGTAAAAACTTAACTGGCAACCTCTTGCAGCTAACACAATGTTAATGCTTTTGAATGGTTTCTTCCCTTTGGGTGTCTGCACCAGACAGATAGATCTCATGTCATGCTGTCTTCCTTCTTCCACAGAAATGTTTATTCTATTTCCTCTTCAGTGATTTTCGATTACACTATAACTTGCATCTCTTCAGGAGACAGCATAATATCTTCATTCGCTAGCTATCCTTTTTCTTTAAGACATCTCTATTGTTTCTACTAGCTTCCTACCACTTCCACTACCACTTCCAATTTCAACTTTTTCTTTCTGTAAAAGACGTGTTTGTGTGTGTGTGTATTAAATCTTTTCTTATTTTTCCCCACCTTTTTTCCAGTCTCAGATTATCCCTACCAATACAGCTTCTATGTCTGTGAGATCATAAAATGATATAAGGTGTTACATTCTCTGTTCTGTCACATTGCTAACCTGCTTTTTCCATTCTCTGCAGTTTCTTTACTCATTGTACACTCAGCCTTGTTAAAAGGCATATTTGCTCCTTGCTTTTTACAGTTGGTATACTTGTGTCCCTCAACGTTTGAACTCAGTATTGGTTCTGGTTGACCAAAATGAATATGAGAGGTATCAGTTCCAGTACGCAATGTTTTCTTGAACTCTCAAATCAAATATGGGCTTACTATATTCAGAAATTTACATATTTCTAGTCCATATTCTCTCCAGCTTGCAGAGGGAAAAGGTTTAAAAGTGGTACAACAATTATATTTTTATTTTGCATTTGAAGAGTTTACACAAATTTAACTATTGTCTATACTGTGACCCAGTGTTGAAAGATGTTGCTCAAAAACTGTCAGTTAATTGATTAAATTCCTTTGCTTAGGTCAAGCCAAATTTTCCCCACATTATAACATAATATCTGCTCACAAAGATTAAGTGCATATACAAAAGTCTGTCTCTTGTGTGCACTGCAGAAGCATTCATCTTTGCTCCTCTTGTATAGAGAATTCAATAACTTTCTCCTTTTCTTTCTCCAGGCCAAGATGATGCTACCAGAACTCATATCTGCAGTTTTTCATCTGGGTCCTGTCCTGCCATGTGTACTTGTAGCAATGGCATTGTAGATTGTCGTGGTAAAGGTCTAACAGCTATCCCTGCCAACTTACCAGAAACGATGACAGAGATGTGAGTAGGAACATATTGGGTAGGGAATAATTATGTGACCTAGTAGTAGGGGTGAAATCCAGAAGGTTCTGACAAGTTCTGGAGAATCGGTAGCAGAAATTTTGAGTAGTTCGGAGAACCTACTCAATACCACCTCTGGCTGGCCCCAGAGTGGGATGGGAATGGAAATTTTGCAATATCCTTCCCCCAGGAGTGGGGGAATGGGGATTTTGCAGTATCCTTCCCCTGCCATGCCCACCAAGCCATGTCACGTCTACCAAGCCATGCCCACAGAACCGGTAATTTTATCCAGGAAGTTTTTTTTAATTTTTGGCTCTAAAGGGGGCTGCACTGCCCAGATCAGACTTGAACGCAATCTGATGGTCCTTCTGCACTTACAGCTTTCACTTGAGAAGCAGTTAAGAAATGTTGATTGGAAGGGACCTATTTCTGTACCCGTATCTGGATTAGAAGACCCTATTCATAGTCACTGATGACTAGGTAACCTCTAACATGGGTTACTGGCACATGCTCTGCATGGGTTTGCCTTTGAAGAGCACTTGAAAGCTACAGTTGATCCAGAATACAACTGGCACTGGCTGCCAGTTGGCTTCTAAATGCAATTCAAGGTGCTAGTTGTCCGCTATAGAGCCATTCACAGCATAGAGCTGTGATTATGTCTTTGATTATGTCTTCCCATTGCAAGTACTGATGGGACACAAGATAATGCTTTCTCTGTCACCACATCTATCCTATAAATAGCATTGTCGCCCAAGATCCAGATGTTCTCTATCCTGCCTGCCTTGCAAAATTTTCAAAGACTTAGCTCTCCCCAAGGGAGTGTTGGGCCAGGCAGCTTTATAAACTTGTTTTACTTATTGGTTTTAGTTCATTTTATTTTGTCAGATGTTATTTCTTGGTTTTAATTTGGTAGAGCACCTTAAGTTTTGTATGGCATGGACAGCCATATAAATTGCATGAATGAATAAATGAATGGTTGTCTGAATCCAACTTTTGTTTGTTTAAGTGAAGAAAGTGGAATATTGATGTATTCAAATGTATGAACTTTTTAAAAAAATAACTTATTCTTGTGCTTCCTTCATTTATTAAATCACCCCTGAAATTCTATTATGCAGACAAAATATGAGAACTACCCTAAGTAATAAGTTTTAAATAGTCATTTCATGAATATTTTATCTAGGCTTAAATATAATTTATAACTAATTCATGCATTATATCCAAGTAAATATACTAGGAAAATGAATTATGTAGATTTGCAGATTGAGATAATTGAGAAATTATTTACTGTGTGATCATGTGATTACATCCACATAAGTAGCTTGCAAATGAATGTACAATGTGCTGAATAGCAAAGTGTGTATATGATTATACCACTTCACTAAATGTAAAACTCTGCATGGATTTCCAAAATATATACTATATCAATTTAATTGTATAAAAATATTATTAATCTGCAAGCTGAGCTGAAAGTCATATTAGTTTGACTCATGTACAGATAGGCAGAACTCTCCTTTCTCTTACAATTCTGTTTGCTCTCTAAAGTGCCCCTACTGAATAATATAGTATTTCATCTATTTTTATTGGTGTACCCCAGTTGTTTTCTTTCTAATGCTTGGCTTATAACACAGACGTCTGGAACTCAATGGCATCAAGTCCATCCCCCCTGGAGCCTTCTCATCGTACAAGAAACTACGTAGGATGTGAGTGTCTTGATACAGATGATTTCCATCCAATTATTCAGTTTCTATCAATTACATTTCTCACCACTTTGGATTTAGTCTATGCTTCTTTGGCTTTGTGCAATCTTTGCTCATTATACAATTAACTCTTCATTCATGATATCTATCTATTATCCAGCAAGGAAAAGATAAACTGAACGGCAAATTAGACCTAGATCAGAGACAAGGCATTTGAAATCCACAGGTATGGCTAGCTATCCTTAAACAGAAAGAATGAATCCAGCTCTGAATCTCAGAAGGGTGGTGCAAAATTATATTATGTTATGTGGGTAAAGAATGGAAGAAACGAGGAATAGGCCAAGAGTTATATATTTCTTCAGCTTTCCAAGGTTATCAAGTGGTCCCTTTGCTGTCCATCATTGTCACAGAAAATATTTACTTATGGTTATCTATAATTCAAGACTTTTAAGCTTGAAATGGCAAATAGACTCTTTGGGGGAAGAGTTTACAGGGGAGAAAAGTGACAAGGCTTTTGAGTATTTGTGAATGTTGATTTTGTCCTATATGTTCTAGAGACCTCAGCAACAATCAGATTTCAGAAATTGCACCTGATGCCTTCCAAGGCCTTCGTTCACTCAACTCTCTGTGAGTAGTCAGTGGAGGAAACATATGAAATATATTACTATAGTTATGGATGCAAAATCCTGCCTGCATGTTGAGAAAGAATGTTCTTCTTTCATGACTCCACTTGCACAACTTAACTGATGCCAGTCAGAGTAATGCTTACAATATCCTGAAAATTCCAAGCTGGAACTCCTGAAGATGCCAGTCTTTGTTCCCTGTTTCTTTGACCAATATTTTCTATAGCTATTTCAGTTTCTAGATACTACCAAATCTCTGTCCTTAGAAATTCATTTGGCTCATCTCCTAAATATAATGTGTAGAATAGTTACCTCATAATTCATTTTCATAGTTAGTTAGTTTCAGAGAGAAAATATTTCTGTGAATGAGGTTTTCATGCCATTATGCTGATTAATTACACTACAGTATTGCAATTCTTCCCTTCAGGGAGTTTGCAGTGGAATGTTTGAAAACTGTTGCTTTATAGAGTTTTAGCTATTTGTCTGATTTAAGCAGCTACATATTTTGGGTATATTGGATACAGTACTTATAGGAACCCAGATTTTAATCTTTTTAAATGCTAAAACATTGCTGTTGTGTGTGATATAAGGAAACTGTGTATTAAAAAGTGAGCCTAATATTTAATAATACATGATAGCCTCCTTTTTTAATACACTATATAGGGCCTCACTAATCCAAGGACTGGTTTTATTTCTTTTCCAGAGTCTTGTATGGGAACAAGATCACAGAGTTGCCCAAAGGAGTATTTGGGGGCCTCTATGCACTACAACTACTGTAAGCACCAATAAGAAAGATGGCTTAATGGCTATCTGGATATCAGCATAGTAGGAGACCCTTAGATACCTCTGTTACAGTCATCTAGAACTTCATTTCCAGCGACATAGTTATTATTTATTTTCAGAAACTAACAGCCTCCCCAGTTGCTTAAAAACTGAAGATACTGTACTCTATTTTCCACACTGCCTGCCTTACTCATTTATATTTTTTCCACATTTTCACACCTAGTTGCTATCATTTCATTTCCAACATCAGCTTCTGCATCTCTTCTTAGCCTACCTTTATTCCCCTTCCATCTGCATTATTCCAGATGGAAACATTATTTGTTTTTATCCCTATAAATCTTCCCTGTGGACTTTTCTCCCTATCCTTTTACTTGGCTTGAATTAGGGCTGGATAAATAGCTGTATACTTTTTTGTCATTTTTTCCAACCTTAAATGAATGGCATCTCATTTTTGCATCAGTTCACCATTAAAAGCAACTACGTGAAAAGTCATACAGATTATCCTGTGCATTTCATTGTTTTATATATATTATTCTTTCTTCTACAGTTTTACAAGCAGTTTCCATGACTCAATTAAATGTGGTACATTATTCCTACTGAGATGTGCATTTTTATGTGAATATAGCTAATCATACCACTTGAAAGATGCAAATATTATTTATTTATTTATAAAATTTATTGGGTGCTTGAAAGGTGCAAATGTTAAAGAATAACTTTGTTTAATTTTCATATTGACTTGGAAGTATGCATTAGATGACTTCAGATTAAAACGCAGGTTTAATTTATTTCTTTGCCTGAGCTTTGCTAGTAACTTGGTGGGGTGTACCTGGGTAGGTCCTTTGCATAATGAGCAAATACGGTAATTTTGTCTAGTATCCAGTACTGTTATCACAGCATGTGCACAGATTACTATAGTATGATTGCTCCATCACTCCAGGCTACTGAATGCCAACAAGATTAACTGCATTCGGGCAGATGCCTTTGCTGACCTGCAGAACCTCTCACTGCTCTCTCTTTATGACAACAAGATCCAGACCCTGGCCAAAGGCACTTTTGCCACCCTGCGTGCCATCCAGACACTGTGAGTGCCGGCTTCTGTACAGATTTGTCCAGTGATGATATGGGGTGGTAGGAGGATGGTAGAAGATTTGAATTCTAGAGTGCCGAGGGGAAGGCAGGCCAGAGTCTGAGGGAAAAGAACCAGGAGATTACAACAGAAATGTCATCTAAAAAGGAACAAGAAGTCCTGCTCTCATTGGAAGATACTGACTCAATACTCATTGAGCCAATGTAGTGCTTTGATTAATGTATTGGGCTATAACTGGGCAGACTCAGATTCATGCCCATCTTCAATCTCAGAAGCTCATTAGGTAATGTTGCATCATCTCTCAGCAAATCCCATCCCATGGGGTTGGTGTGAGGAAAAAGAAATGGAGGACAAAGTGCTCCATATACTGCCTTGAGCTCCTGGATGAAAGGTAGGTTATAAACTTAATGAATACATAAATCATGAATAAATAAAATAAAATAAATTCCTAGAGGATGTGTTCCAGAGCCATTGGCATGCCTCCATGATCTTTGAGATCTGCCAAAGAGAGGGGCTACTGAAAAAGCATTCAGCTTTGCACTGGCTAGAAGCACCATCTTAGCAGCCACACGTGGCTCTCAGATCAACCACCTGAGCTGCCCACAGATTCCTGAATGGTTATGCTCAGTTGTTCCTTTTTCTTTCCTACTGCAGCCATCTGGCCCAGAACCCTTTTATTTGCGACTGCAACCTGAAGTGGCTGGCAGACTTCTTGCGTGCCAATCCTATTGAGACAAGTGGTGCTCGTTGTGCCAGTCCCCGGCGTTTGGCCAACAAGCGCATTGGACAGATCAAGAGCAAGAAATTCCGCTGTTCCCGTATGAGCTACTTTCCTGCTATAGGGTTACTTTTAAATTTGGGTCCAGGAGAGTAATGATGGGTGCCCTTTGCATGTTCTAGCATATCTTTGAAGAAATTTTGTCTCAACACACAAGTAGACTATAAAGAACACGTAGAAATGTTCTCCCATCCCTCCCTTCCTTCCTTCCTTCCTTCCTTCCTTCCTTCCTTCCTTCCTTCCTTCCTTCCTTCCTTCCTTCTTTCCTTCCTTCCTTCCCATAATACCTCCTTTGCATTTTATGCATTTTGCATTGTACCCCCCCATTTTTAAATTTTCTTGTGCCCAGAGGTCTAAGGAATCAGGATACATATAAACCATAAGCCATTTTACACCCTGAAAGTGAACAACAGGAATGGCCTGGTTGAAATGAGCAACTAGTCTGCAATTTAATCTTTTATTTAATGTCTAGAACACAGAGATAGATCTGTTTACTATAAATTGGTTGACTAAGTGTTCTAACCTCTTAATTTGAAGAAGAAGAAAAAATCTTGTGCCAGAACATATGTACAGGCTTGCTCTAACATGCCTGAAAGAGTTGTGTTTGTTGCATTTACATTAATACTCTTTGCCCACCTTTCTTTACAGCTAAGGAACAATACTTCATTCCAGGTAAAGGGAAAATATTATAATGGGATATGATGGGATTAATGTATTGATTGAATGCATATACCTTTCTTTCCTGGGCAGAAATTTCAGAATTTCCCTTTAAGATGAATGGTTTATGTTAAAACTTCCAAGTGCCATTGAATGGCTTATGTTTAAATAACGTATGTTAAAACTTCCAGGTGTAGCTCAAGCTACTGGTTACTACCTGTAAAACCTTTCGTGGCATAAGCCTTGTTATCTAAAGGAGCATCAGTCTTCTTTAGTTTTTGCCTTTCGTGCATGTTTGTCCAAACTTGGTGTACTCCAGGATCCATCTATTAAGCAGTATCATCTGATGGGATCTAGAAAATGTGCCTTCACTTTTCATGTGCCCCCTGGGACAACATTGTCTCCTTCTTCCCCAACCATGTTTAAAACAATCCTTAAAAACGTAGTCTTTCCTCGATTTAGAATGTATTACATGTGGGGTAATACAAGTAGCCCTAAACAACAGTTTGTTTAGTGACCGTTTGAAGTTACAATGGTACTGAAAAAAGTGACTTATAACCATTTTTCACAGTTACATCCATTGCAGCATCTCCATGGTCAAAATTCAGATGTTAGGTAATTAACTCATATTTATAACAGTTGCAATGTCCCAGGGTCATGTGATCAGCTTTTGTGACCTTCTGACAAACAAAGTCAATGAGGAAGCCAGATTCCCTTAACAGCAATGTTACTAATTTAACAATTGCAGTGATATGCTTAACAAGTGTGGCAAGGAAGTTCGCAAAATGAGGCATAATTCACTTAACAAATGTCTCACTTAGCAACAGAAATTTTGGGCTCAATTGTGGTTGTAAGTTACAGACTACTGTAATTATCCAACCAGGTACTTTCCCCCAATAACAGTGGCCTTGGTTGTATGTTGCTACAACAGCTCCAAAAACAGAACCCCCACTTCTGAGGCAGATGGAGAGAGCAATGGGTAGCCTGACGTTAGTTAGAAGATGAACTAGAAATCCCAATGGGAAATTGGTTTTCAGAGCAGAATTATAACTAGAGTTAACTTTTAAAAGCAAGCATCATGAGATCAGTCCAGATCCTGATCTGATGAAGTGACATAAAACACTTATGTGGAAGTCCTTTTATTCCTGAATATGAAATGCCAGAGTACAGTTGGAAGGCTAACCAATGGAAAATTTAGTTTAAGATTCTTGCAGATTGATCTATCAAACTCTTTTTATAGAGAGCACAGGGGTAGAGAAAGGAAATTTTTTTGCTTTTGCAGATGATCCCTGCTCTCCACTGTTCTGTGCAGAGAAGTGACAATGATTATACCTAAGTGTAGAGAGTAGTAAGGGACATTTTCTTGTCTTCTAGAAGAAGGTTCCCTAGCAATACAGCTATCTTTAACTCACACTTAACTCACACTTCATTTTTCTGGCAGGTACAGAGGATTATCATTTGAACAGTGAATGCCATAGTGATGTGGTTTGCCCGGCCAAGTGCCGCTGTGAAGCTAATGTGGTGGAGTGTTCCAATCTGAGGCTGACAAAGATCCCAGAGCGCCTCCCACAGGCTACTGCTGAATTGTAAGATCTGAACTTGCCCTGCCCATCATTGAGCATCCATTCTTGTCTTTTCACAATCCAAATGGAGTGCTCTTTGCTTCTTTGTTTTTCCTGTGGCTCCTTCAAACAATGAGTTGTGAAGTGTCATTATTTTTAGGATGTGTTCTGCCACTGTTCCTTAATAAGATAAAGTGAGAAGAGTACTAGGCTCAGTACTCTTCAATATCTTCATAAACGACTTAGATGAGGGAATAGAAGGGGCATTTACCAAATTTGCAGATTATAGTAAACTGGCAGGGATAACAAACACCCTAGGTGATAGGCTCAAGATCTATCTGGATCTTGACAGACTTGAACACTGGGCCCTAACAAAATGAAATTCAATGTAGAGAAAAGTAAAGTCTTACACTTAGGCAAAAAACTCCAAAAGTACACATATAGACTGGGTGAAACCAGGCTTAATAGCAGTAATTGGGAGAGGGATCTTGGAGTGTTAGTGGACAACCAATTAAATATGAGCCAATAGTGTGCGGCAGCAGCCAAAAAAGCCAATGCAATCCTAAATTGCATTAATAGTCAAGATTAAGTGATGTACTAATACCACTCTATAAAGCCTTAGTAAAACCAGACCTAGACTACTGCATCCAGTTTTGGTCACCACACTATAAAAAAGATGTTGAGACTCTAGAAAGAGTGCAGAGAACAACCAAGATGATTAGGGGACTGGAGGCCAAAACATACGATGAACGTATGCAGGAACTGGGAATGGCTAGTCTAGTAACGAGAAGGAGCAGGGGAGACACGATAACAGTGTTCCAATATTTGAGGGGCTGCCACAGAGAGGAGGGGGGTCAAGTTAATTTTCAGAATACCTGAAGGCCAGACAAGGAATAATAAACAAGAAGAGATTCAACATGGAAATAAGGAGAAATTTTGTGACAGTGAGAACAATCAGTCAATGGAACAGCTTGCCTTCAGAAGTTGAGGGAGCTTCATCACTAGAAGCTTTCAAGAAGAGACTGGACTGCCATATGTCAAAAATGGTGTAGGGTCTGCTTGGGGGTGGGGGGTGGACTAGATGACCTACAAGGTCCCTTCCAACTCTGTATCTGAGATGCAATACCTATTCCACATGCAGCCTCTTTGGAAAACTCTGTACAAATGCTCATGTCCTTCTCAGGAAATCCCCAAGCTTTCCACTGTGCCACTCACTTCATTTTTTCCTTATTCTGGATGGTTTTTGTATAAGAAAGCATGGCTATTATATTGTTCATGCAGCGTAAATCTTTGCTCTCAGGCTTGCATGTTTATTTTACTTTCTTTCCCGTGCAGACGCCTGAATAACAATGAAATCACAGTGGTGGAGGCGACAGGTATCTTCAAGAAACTTCCACACTTAAAGAAAATGTGAGTTATATGGATGACAGCTTCTAGGAACACATTCCTCCTTAGATAGGATTTTGGAGTGGGCTTTACAGCATAGCAATATTTTTAAAAGATGTGGCAGCGAAAGAGCTGTCACAGTTCCTACAGGCATTGGTATAAATGGATATAAAGAACTATGCTGAATCCATCTGCTATCTCCTTGCATATATATGAAGTCCACAACAAGCACCCTCTTCCTCCTCACATAGCCTACCAATTTTAGGAGGCATATTCCTTCTGATAGTGGAAGTAATACATAACTATTTTAACTATTGTTATTCTTCAGGAAACAGATGCAAAAATGCCTAGACTCTGATTACTCTCTCAGCAACCTGCTTGAGGTTACAAAATTAGGCCTAAAATTATGACAGATGTTCAAGTGAGTGCAGAAGTAATCTAGGGGGAGAATTGAAAGCTGCTAAATGAAACACACTTCCACCATTGGATCTATCGGAACTAGTCTTCTTTTGTTACCGTTGAAGTAACAGAGACTGGCAGACTGTGAAGTAAGATGCAACCCTTCCTATATTGACTTCCTGCTCCTTGCTTTCCTAGAAATTTGAGCAACAACAAACTCTCAGAGATCGAGGATGGGGCCTTTGAGGGGGCAGCCTCAGTGAGCGAGTTACATTTGACTGCTAACCAGCTAGAGTCAGTGCGCAGCTCCATGTTCCGGGGCTTGGATGGGCTGCGGACATTGTAAGTCACCCCTAACTGGGAATAGTAGGAGGGAGGAGCACCATTTTGCAGAATATCGATGCTTCTTGCTAACAACTTACTGTAAAATGGCTTCTTCCCATCTTCTCTTTTCTCCCCAGGATGTTGAGGAACAATCGCATCAACTGTATTCACAATGACAGTTTCACTGGGCTGCGCAATGTGCGCCTTCTTTCCTTGTATGACAATCAGATCAGCATTATTTCACCGGGGGCTTTTGATACACTGCAGTCACTCTCTACTCTGTGAGTTGTAAGAAAGGGAAATGTTAGTTTAATATAACACAGGTCTTTTCTCTTGGATTTTTATGTTATTTTTCCTTTCCAAACTATTCTCTGGTCTCAGAAATTGCTTCCATCATGAACTGATCCAGGTTCTGGGGTGTTCCCATTTTAAACTTAGTATAGTTATCAGAGAACTGTTTGCAAAGAGCCACATCTCTTGAGTCATGACTAGACAAGAGGAAATTTTCGTTTGTGAGAATGGCCCTCTTCACTTTCAGCTGGGGGCCATGGTTGAAATGCTGTAGTTGCTAAAATAGGCATTTATCACTGTTTCAAACCATGGGATGTTGCTAAGAAACTATTTTGCATATTGGTAATATTTGATTTTATCTCTCAATTTTGTAAATCTCTTTATGGGGAGTAAAGCTATTAAAAATACACAAATGGTAACAAATGAATATTTATACCATTTGCTTGAGTCAAAATACTACTTCATCTTATCTTCTAAGCTTGCTCTTGCTCTTTACAGTTACTGGGGAAGCACTGAGGTACAAGTGCCACAATTTACCTAAGGCAATTTAATGAGTTTATATTTCAGAGGAAAGACTTGTGCAAGATTTCTTAACTCAGAACTCCTTGATTCAGTTCATGATCTCCCCAAATGAAAGATGCTCCTCTAAGTAGGGTTGGGAAAGACAAGAGAACAGAACAGTTCCACTGAATTGGATCATGCATGTTGCCCAGCATTCTGTTCCCACAATGGCCAACTAGAAGCCAACAGGAAGTCCACAGGCAGAACACCAGTGTAGCTACTTGTGTTCTCATTGCAGGAGGAGAACTATGTTAGAAGCCTTTATGAATAAATTAATTTTTTTTAAAAAAACATATAGGTTGGTAGCCAATCTGAAAGCTCTGCAATTGGTCTATTCTTGAAACCTTGAAGAATTCATGGTAATCAATGAAGACCAATCTTAATTACCAGCAGCTCCCCAATCCTCATGGAGAGCTGCTGGTAATTCCTACAGGCTGTAATTATAAAATGATGGTGTAACATTGTCTTAACATCCATGTTTGGGAAATATAAACAATGCTAGACTAGGTGGCTAATAGTTCAACTCGACAACACGTAAAGTAGGTTTATATTATCAATATATAATTAGGTGTTTACCAGATATGAGAAAGGTGATTGGGTTTAAAAGTGGTCAGGAAATTTCATTCCAACTGCGGGAAGTTAAAATTTCCATCAACAGTTGTATTATTTATCTTCTTTACATAACCTTTGAACCCAGGAACCTACTGGCTAACCCCTTCAATTGCAATTGCCATCTGGCCTGGCTGGGTGATTGGCTTCGCAAGAGGAAGATTGTGACTGGGAATCCACGCTGCTACAATCCAGATTTTCTGCGCCAAATCCCACTGCAGGATGTTGCCTTCCCCGACTTCAGGTGTGAGGAAGGTAACTTATGGGCGCTCAGTTTTTGGGTAATAGCAAGGACAACAAAGCAAATATACAAGCTTTACACAGTGAGGTTTCTTATATATGTGCGCCAAATCATTTTGTGTCTTCTAAAAGAGCAGTGTAATCCAGATTCATAAAGAATCATGCTTAAACATGATGCAAAGCTCTAATTGACTTCTTTATCCCATTTCTCTGAATGAATTGAAAATAATTCAACATTGTTTTGTTGTAAATCTAAAAATAGCATAGGGTACTCACATAAACAGACACTGCAAAATAATGTACAGTCTCATTCTATATTTCAACATATTTTGCTTAGATTTTTACTTTTGAATCATAGTTCAGTTCCATGTATATATCAATTTGCACATTTTGATGCACAAAGCTAAATAATATATATCTATATATCTATTGCTCAGTCTACTCATTTTTGCAAGTGTTTTCTTTTAATATGCATATATCAGTGATGGTTAACCTTTTTGCCATTGCGTGCCAGGAAGGGGGGCGGGGGAGGTTCGCATGCACGTGTGCCCACACCCATAATTCTATGCACCCTGCCCCGTGCATGCAACCCCCCTTCCTCCCGCTCCTAGCACACGATGGACTGGTAGACCCATTTTTCTTTCTCACCTGGCTCCAGATCCTCTCTATGCATCTGGGGAGGGCGAAAACGGCCTTCCCCATCCCCTCGGAGGCCCGAAACGGCCCGTTTCCCAACTTCTGGTTGGACAGGAAGTGACTTTTTTGCTGTCCCCAGCCTCCAGATACTCCGACGCATGTGCACCGGAGCTGAGCTGGCGTGCCAGGGGACATGGCTCCATGTGCCGCCTGTGGAAAGCATGCCATAGGTTCGCCATCACGGGCATATATCATGCAACTTTTACCAATATACACATTTTTGTGTGCCTTTTCCTGCCTTTCTTTCCAGATTTTTTAACCTGTCCCAATCAGTAAACTATTTTTGTATCAATGTTTTCTTCAGAAAATTACATCAGAGTATCAGGAAAATCATAAATATCAAATAATGACAACTGCATTTTTGTCTGCATATAGGTTAGGAAAACTTGAATTTTGCATTGAAATTATAACTGAATTAGCTTTTCCTTCACTTTTTTTTCCTTCACTCAGTTACAAATACATGGGCATAACCAACTAGTCTAATATGATATACACAACTCTGTGCCATTTAGATATATAGAAACTAAGTATTGAAGGGTAGCACCAAAGTAGAGAAAACCAATTAGTATCCTCAACCCACAAATTAGCCAAAACGTAATTTTTGCTAAACATGCATGGATTTCTAATTATTAATGGTTCCTAGAGTTATGTCTACTGATTTTAAGCATTCTTTTTTAAGGTTGAAAAGTTGGTTAAAGACAAAGCAATTTAATTAGCTATGGTGTTTAACCATCCAGATTAAGTAAGTGAAATATCTTGATGCAAAAAATATTTTACGATAATACTGATTTACTAAACGAATAAATCATGTGAATTTGGCAAGCATGTGTACGTCATTGGCCTTGATCCAATGCAGTAGCTGCTTTCAACGTAGCCTTTGTGTGGAGAATTGGTAGGGATGGCTGTGACCCAGAAAAAATTAATCACAGTAAATTAGCTTTTTGAGTGCACTTCTCTGCCTTGAAACCTTCTTGTAATTCAATACAAAGGCACCGTTTCAAAATGGAACCTTTCCATCACTTCCCATAAAAACCTACATTGTTTTTTCTAATGAATTAATCACATCAGTTGATTAACATCCCGAGTTCTAATTGTTCTTGATATTTCTGACTCTTGAAGACCTACATACTAATAGAAAACCCAGAATTTCTTGCAAAGATTTGAGACAAAGTTTATATCTGGAGTGTCATATTGCATTCTTCTTGGCTTGTTCCTTGGCAGGTCAGGAGGAGACCATCTGTTTCCCACGTCCTCAGTGCCCCCAGGAGTGCACCTGCCTAGACACAGTAGTTCGCTGCAGCAATAAGCACCTGAAAAGCCTTCCAAAAGGGATACCCAAGAATGTTACTGAGCTGTGAGTATAGATATATAGGATATCTGCTGGAAGGAGCATTATGAGAACTGACACTTTGTATCCATGGATGAAAAATGGTTAGCACAGCCTTTTTAGGCTAACAACCATACTTGGTTTTGAGGTGGTGCTAGGGACTGGACTGGAGTCCCCAAAAGTAGAACAAAAATATGGGTGGAATCAGTACAAAAACAAATTTCTTTTAGAAGACATTATATTAATTAAATCCAGTTAATATGATTGTTTTCCATATATTTAATAGTTTTTTTTAATCACATTAAAAATAACACGTGACTAGCAAATTTTGGAAGAGCTAGTGGGGTTGTACCAGGGGTGAAATGCTCCCGGTTCAGACCGGATCACCCGATCCGGGAGCGATGGTGGGTGGTTCGGATACCGGTAGCAAAAATCCCTGCCCCCTCCCCATGCCCAGCTGAGCCACGCAATCATCAGAGGCTTTATTTATTTATTTATTTTTAAAAGCATTTTTTCTACAACCTCTTCGGCCGAAAAAATGCTTTTAAAAGTTTTTTTAAAAAGCCTCTGATGATTGCGCGGCTCAGCTGGGATGGTTAGAGGCTTTTAAAAGCATTTTTTTCTGCAACCTCTTCGAGGTTGTAGAAAAAAATGTTTTTAAAAGCTTGTAACGATCCCAGCTGAGTTGCCTGATCGTCAGAGGCTTTTAAAAGCATTTTTTTCTGCAACCTCTTATGGTTGTAGAAAAGATGCTTTTAAAAGTAAAAAAAAAAAAAAAGTTGGCCACACCCACCCAGTCACATTAACCCGCCCACCAAACCACGCGCACAGAACCGGTAGTAACAAATTTTACATTTCACTTCTGGGTTGTACCCATATTTTTAGGAGCTGGCTGGGTCTCAGGTTGTACTTTCTGGATTTGGAGCAGCAAACTGACTAATGCACCTAGTCTCTTGAGTTGCACAAGATTTGCAATTTTGCTGCCATTTGTATGAAGAAAGATTAAAAAATATTTTCGGATATTTTGAACTATTATTCCTGTGTGGCAAATGTATTGGGATATTAAGTTTGTCGTTATGGTTTATCATCCACAAATAGTGAATCTGTGGTATGCAGAAAGGGCCACAGTTATCAATATGTTGCTTTGTAATGTTAATTAACCATCTGCATAGCAGTAACAGTAAAGAAGACAAGGTGATAAACTGTACCTTCATATTATACATTTTGCACACGGAGATCTTGAACTTTGCTCTTTTAGCAGTTCAGTTGTAATATCTGATGCATATTTTTACTATTCTTGCAGCTATTTGGATGGCAACCAATTCATCCTTATTCCAGGACAACTCTCCACCTTCCGTTACTTGCAGCTGGTGTAAGTGTCCGAGAAGCTCTAAGAAGTTACTCATCTGATGAAACCTACAGTGGTCTTTCCTGGAGATGGTAGATTAAATATAAGGATCATAACACCCTCTAGGATGTTCTGAAAACTGCTAAGATCTTCACCATAATCTAGATCCATTTTCTCCAACTTGCTGACTCGAGATGAGTAGGTGTGACCTGGATTCCTTTGCTGCATATCTAATTGGACAAAGAATAAATAGGAAGAGACATCAGTGTGTTGTTAATTGATGTAGTGATATAAATTAAAGCTGGTGCAGAAGATAAGGGGGTCTATAGCAGCTTTTAGTAGAAGCAGATGGTCATGATGTTACTAATATGCAGTGAAGCTTCACATTGTTATAAACAAAAGTAAAACATAAGGCCAGACTGCCCTGTACAACCCAGTGATTTATCTTTCATATTCTTTTTTTCAGTAATTAGCAAAAAGCACTGTTTCATTAAAAGCATAGAATGCCATAGAATTATGTATATTGAAACAGAAGGGGATCAGAGAAGACCAAGAAATAGTCAAGAGAGGTAGTCCCCTCTTATCTTCTGTACTGTCCATTAGAAAACATCTGAGAAGAGAAATAGAAACATTTGCATCATACAAAATGATGTTTAAAGCAGAAAATGGAAAAATCTTAAGGAAAAAAAATATTAGGAAACATTTTTAGATTCAATTTTCCTATTAGTCTTCTTAATCATGACACCCTCTTAAAGCAAATAAAGTTGCAGGGTTCTTACAAGAAAAATTCAGCCATTTTGAATTGGATACAGCTAATTTGAGGTAGAATAATGGATTGCATCATGCAATCGTCATGCAGAAAGTTGCATAAAAGTGCTGATAAACCATAAAGCGGATTTATGAGTATATATATATATATATATATATGTATACTGCAATTGCAAAGGATTGTAGATTTTTGCTTGAGAAATAAGAGGAAGGAAGAAAGATTATGTTAAAAGTGATATTAGAACCTGCATCATGCTTCTGTTTTGCAGAGACCTGAGCAACAATAAGATCAGCTTCCTCAGCAACAATTCCTTCACCAATATGAGCCAACTGACCACTTTGTGAGTGTTTTCCAACAGAGCTGAATCTAAAAGAGTTATCCTACTTCAGATTGCAGGGACAGATATCATTGGGTTCCTGTGGTGAAAACCTGGGCAAAGGCCACATCCACTCAGCTCTTTTGCTATGTTCCCCTTCTACCCTAAAGCTAGCAGGAAATCCATATTTTTGCTGCCTCTGTAGCACATTCTTACCAGGTACCTGGAACAGGCCCAAACTGAGCTGCTTTCTATCCATGTTTAGCACAAAATGACCCAAGGCCAGTGATTTGGCTCTAATTCCAGCCCTGCCCACCATCATCTAGCATTTGAAAAGCCTATTCCATTTAGAATGCATAATGCTCTAATAACTCCATGCAGATTTTTTCTTTTCCTAGTGGCCTATTTTTTAAAAACAAACAAATGTGATTTGTTTTGTGGACCACTATTTGGCAGAAGGGAGTATCAAGTGAGGCGTGAGCTTGTCAGTTTCAGGACTTCTCCCTATCTAGCTGGACCTGCCCACCCACCCATTTTTCCAAACAACAAAAAAGCGGAAAAAATTGGAGTTCCAGTTTCCCTTACAACCGAAAGAAGACTTAGAGAGAATAAAGAGATCAGGGACCGAAGAGACTGGTCCCACAGGAAACTAGCAGAAGTAATTGAAGCCACAAAGTTGCTATCACAAAGCATGTCATGCCACCTCCTGAATGCCCATTAATGCACTCTACATTGCCAGCATACAGTGTCCTAAGTGGGATATTAGGGTAAGCACAGTATCTTAAAGAATCTTTAAACCCGCTGTGGGAGTCACTGAGATGCAGGCAGATGCATAAGGTTATGTTGTCAGGAAAGTCTTAGCGTGCCTTCCTTGTGCCAAGGCAAGAAGGTTGTATGGATTTACTTAGAGACCTTATAAAGATATCTGCTATATGGCTTTTTATTGTGCAAAGCAGGTTTCCTTTATAGTTGCGATTTATATCCTGTCCAAAATGAGATTGATTAGGAGAGAGATTCTGATTCAAAATATTTAAGATTTTTCTATGAGTTACCTTTTAGTGCATCTTACAAAATACTGCAGAGAGGAATACAGTCAATGTATGGGATGTAATTACACAACATATGATTGTTTAAATTGTTTCTGCCTCTCTCCAATTTCATGTAGGATCCTCAGCTACAATGCACTGCAGTGTATCCCCTCACTAGCCTTTGAAGGTCTCCATTCACTACGGCTGCTGTATGTATCTTGTCTTTTGCACCCAATTCATATCACCTGTCCTTCCTTATTCATTTCTCTGAGGAATCTCCTGTTTGTGGTTTACTGGAGAATGAATTTTGCCTGGTCATTATTTTGTTTTAATGGATAGCAACCAGGCAAAGATATGGCACATTGGGAATTTGGGGGTGGGTGAACGGGTTGAGAAAATGACTTCCATTTTAAAGGGCCAATCATAAATCATACATTTACTATAAGGCAAATTTATGATGCCTCTCTCCATCATTACCTTAGCCTAGCCTCCCAAATACTTTCTACTACCTCAGTCAAAATCAACTTTGTTTTTTACCGGGCAGGAGGGCAGATTACCAAATAAAGCTGTATATTGTTTAAATAAAGAGAATATTAGAGGCTGGATCTTTACTTTGCTGCAGGCCAAGTTCCGTTTTATGTTTAAAGATGCTTTAAATAAAAAAGTCAGGTGAAACAGAGAGTTTGGAGGAGTGAAAAGAAATGGCCATGGGGGGTAGAGGTGCCCTTGGGTCCTATTTTCCCTTATTGTGGGGTGCTCAAGAAAAAATTGATTAATTTCCTATGACCTGAGAGCACAGGTGGTATTCAGGAGATTGTGACAAGTTCTGGAGAACTGGTAGCGGGAATTTTGAGTAGTTCTGAGAACCAGTAAATACCACCTCTGACTGGCCCCACCCCCATCTATTCTCTGCCTCCTGAGTCCCAGCTGATTGGGAGGAAATGGGGATTTTTGCAGTAACCTTTCCCTGGGGAGGGGAGGGAATGGAGATTTTATAGTATCCTTCCCCTGGAGTGGAGTGGGAATGGAGATTTTACAGTATCCTTCCCCTGCCACGCCCACCAAGCCACGCCCACCAAGCCACACCCACAAACCGGCAGTAAAAAATTTTGAATCCCACCACTGCCTGAGAGACCTTTCCTTCATATAGTCCATGTTTGTATGTAAGGTATATGTACAGCTATTATCTTGCATTATTGTCCATTACTTACTCGTGTTACCTGCCTAGGAAAAAATACCCTTGTATGAGTTCATTTAATAATGGAGATCAGAATACCCATCCCATAGAATTTTGATTTACTGGAGACTAGAAATGGCCCAATGGCAGAGAAAGCAACCCCTTGATTTCTATATAACCCCTTGCTTATATAGATTTATATAAATTAGAATATACTTGTAAATTATGGTGTCAGAGATAGCGAAGTAATGAAGGTCGAACTAAAACAAAACAAAACAAAACAAAACAAAGGTTTATTGAGAATACAGAAACCATGTGTTATAATAGTAATAAATATCTGGTGTTTCTCTTTCTTTTCTTATCTCCCTTGTCCTTGCTTCCCATAGTTTTCCTGGCCTCTAAATATTCATTCTCCTTATGATCAACGTTTCTTTGCCTTCCTATTTATGGCTTTACTAGCATTTTTATTGCTTCTCTAAGGGGCCCAGGAGAGGTGAATGAATTGGGGTGGTTATGGGTGATCTGCTTAGACTCTAGCTAATACCATTTTTTATACTTCAGTCCCTCCTTTTGGAGTTCAGACTGTACTGCATCTCTGTAAACTCCACTCATGTGAACCCTTATAATTCAATTTCTTGTTCCTTCATTTCTAAATTGTGCTTTGAAATCCAGTGCTTGACTGGTAGAAAAGATGGCATGCTGATGGAGGAATGCAATGAGCAATAGGCATATTCTGCAAGAGGCAGTACAGGTAGTCCTTGATTTACAACAGTTCATTTAGTGACCATTCAAAGTTACAATGGCACTGAAAATTTTTCCACACCTATGACCCTTGGAGCATCCCTATGGTCACATGATGAAAATTCAGATGCTTGGCAATTGACTCATCTTTATGATGGTTGCAGTATCCAGGTGTCATGTGATAACCTTTAGCGATCTTTTGACAAGCAAAGTCAATGGGGAAGTTGGATTCATTTAACAACTTTGCCACTAACTTAAAAACTGGAGTGATTCACTTAACGGTGGCAAGAAAGGTCATAAATGGGGGCAAAACTCACTTAACAAATATTTCACTTAGCAACAGAAATTTTGGGCTCAATTGTGGTCACAATAAAGTTGAGGACTACCTGTAATTTAATTATTCTGTAGTGTAAATACAAGTAGTTCTCGAGTTATGACCATAATTAAACTGTGCAATTATAATCAGTCATAAGTTGTGATGGTTGTAAAGCAGACCATCACATAATCATCAGACCCGCTTTTATTACCCTTTTTGGAGCAGTGATTAAGTGAATGCAATGGTCGTAAAGCAAGTGCAACTCATTGTTTGTTATGGGGTATTATTTTCTCACAGGGCACTGCAAATAGCCATAAATGCAGGTTGGTTGCCAAGTGCCCAAAATATGGTCATGTAACCATGAAGGGGAACTCGGATATTGGAACTTTGGAACCAGGTCAAAAGTAGTTTTTGGGGGAAGGGGGTCCATTGTAACTTCAAACTGTTGCTAAGTGACTGGTTGTAAATTGAGAACTATTAGTATTGTTCAAGTAAATGTCTATGTTTTCCAGTTATCCATTAGATTATGAATGATGAGATTAGCACCAAAAAGGTCGTGTTACTTTTTTTACAGCACAAAGATCAATAATAAAATCCAGGGAAACTGTATCCCATAGTGTAGGATGGAAGGGGAGCAGCTGGAACAAACTAGCTGGCTTACTAAGCCCAGTCTTTGCCCAGCCGCAGGCATGACAGGATGAAGCATTGTCTTTGACATTTGACTCTTTCATTCGGATTCTAATGCAATGTTTTGAACACTCACCACACCTACCACAGCTTTATTATCATGGTAAAGTTGTAATATTTATTCCTTGAGAGGAAGAGGAAGATATAAAAGAGCGTTGTGAAAGGAGTATCCATCAGTCAGATCATGGTGGAGGAGATGGCCAGAGAATATCATATTTAATCTTGCATGAGAGTGCACGTAACAGCTTTTTATATGAACTAGAAACACAGTTGACACAAAAAATGGGGAGAAAATATGTGTGCCTGATCTGACATGGAGCAAGTGTCTGAGCCTTCTGCAGTTGCTCCACACTCTTGGTGGCCTGCTCCCTCCAAGAAATACCTCCACTGTTGGAATATTGGTTTTGTGGCCCACAGATCTTTACTTGAAAATATCATTGTTTCTTTCAGTCAGGAAGAATAAGGTGAACGGTAAAAAAAAAAAAAAAATCCTCCCCTTCCTTTGTCAAAACCTGCAAGAGAACAGCTCTCGAAGCCGATTCTAAGGCATCAATTTCCACAGCTAAGGAGTGGGTGGGTTCTGGATGCCTGAGTAGCGCTTGGGATCAAAAGAGATTTTTCAGGGTGCTCTTGAGTACAGCATTTAAATTTCTTTCTTCAAAAGTTGATTGGTGTTAGAGTGGGTCTTCTGAAAAAAAATCAGGATGTCATCTGAATTTTAACAGGAAAACAGCTGTTAAATTTCCATGGCCCTCTTCCATTCAGATCAAACTGTAATTTCCTCTTAAGTCCAATTTAGTGAAAATGCCTGCCTTCCGAGAGTGATTCGGCAGATCTGAAATAAGAGGCATTGCATAGTGGTTGCTAATGGTTACAGAATTCAGAAGTCTGTAATTGTGTACAATTCTCAAGGAATTATCTTTTTATAAGAAACATTGGCAGACGTTGGATATGTAGAAGGGTAAATAAATCCTTTCTTCAGATTTTCACCCAGAGACTGTTCTAAAGTGATTAACTCTTTCATAGACAGAGGCTATTATCTTTTGTGGGGCATCTGCCATCTTGTGGGGCATCAGGTTTTAAGTTGACGCTACAGTCACACACCCAATGAGGAGGCAAGGCAGCTACTTCCTCTTTCACCAAAACAACAAGAAAATCAGGTACTTTTCTGGGAAGGGAGGCAATTCAGGCTGGCATAGGAGGGAGAGAAGAAAAAGAGTGGCATGTCTGTAAATGGGACTGTTGATACTTGTGAGAGAGGAGAGAAATTGCTTCCTGCATCTAATGGATAGTTGGATTTTGAATTATAGCCAGTCTATGCTGAGTATAGGAACATGTAAGGAAAATGTGATATAGAGTGGCAAAAATTCTGTATTATTATTTATTTTCAATTTGAGAATACTACACCTAAAAGAAATTGTCCTTCAATTGTCTCAACTAAAAGGGCTTTAGTACAACTCAGCACAGCCAGTTTTGCACAGTCAGCTCATTCTGTCAGCTCCCCATCACCAAGTCACTTCTGCCAAATCACTGCCGCCAAGTCATAGCAGGACAATAACGGAGGTGGCCCATTTTCACACACACACACCACTGCCTGTCTTGGCCACCACCACTGTTGTCCCTAGTCTCTTTGGCCTGGAGTTCAGAATGGTTGCAGGCACAGTGGCAGGGAAGAGGGGTTGTATGTGAAAATTGGACACCCACACCCCAGCTGCCGTCACCTTCCTGCCAACTGCCTGTCACCCCTGTCCCCGGCCTCTTTGGGCCAGATCTTGGTGTAGTGGTAGTGGTGGTGATGAAAGGTGTGTGTGTGAAAATGGGAAGCCTCCAGCCACCACTGCCGCTCTGCTCTCTGCCCACCAACTGGCTCTCCCTCTGGCCAGCCATGGTGAGTTGTCCCCACAGAGAGTTGGCTGTGTGGAGTTGTCCTGCAGTGAATTGGCGGTGGCAAGCTGCTGGTGGTGTGTTGGCCATATCAAGCTGGCCATGCGGAGTTTTCCCATTCTAACAAAGGGTTCTGTAATAACTACATGGGAAACGCAAATTAACACATTGTAGTGTCATCTATGAAGTTAGTTGTGCCGAAGTCTAAAGTGTAAAATTGTATTTCTGCATCAGCAAACAAAACAAAACAAAAAACAACAACATAGGAATATTATCTGCTGTTATTTGCCATATAAACTCTTCTTAATTTTTTTTCAGGGGCCCTGTTAAGCATCTGTCTTTCTGATGAGAGAGAAAGGCTTTCAAGATTGCCAGGCCTTTAAAGAAGACAAGATCAATTAATTGGGCACAGAAGAGATTCCAGGAATTCATATAATACTGTAGGGTAAAATAGCAGAATCTTGAAAGCCTCTCGGTTTCTCTGTGCCCCATCTTACACAAACAAGATCAAGCTATTTTGAGAGTTGGGTTATTTATGCTCTCCTTTTTTCTCAGGGCTGATTAATCTTTTCTGAAAGTTCCTTGGTGGTTTAGTCATTGTTTCTCCATTCTCAAGGCCAAGTTTACATTTCTTCTTAATAGAAACTCAATATTATGAGTTTTCAGAGTAGGTATCATTTTAAGAAATTTCCCATATTGAGGATATATCCAGAAATTAGCTGTCAGATAGGATCACACCAGAATAAGTAACACAAACTCACAATTCTCCTTCCATCTTGGGATAATGATTCATGTGTGTGCTTTCTGCAAATAAGGAGCCTAGGTGTGCATATCTGTAAAGTCAGTACTAACATCCTAGTGGTATAAACAGATATAGCTCCATTACCAATTGCAGTAAAACAAAGCAATACATGAATTCCCCAAGGGACAAGAGGGCAAAATCAATTAAGCTAGTAATCTTACAAACCTATTTCTATTGTGCAAAATGAGACAGAATTCTTGAGAAAAATTCTTGGCAGCCTTGGGAAGTGTTGGAGGCTTTGAATTCAATGCAGAAAGTGTCATTCAGAGGAGAGGAATGGAGGATATAAATCTCATCTTCACCTAGCTTGATCATTTTCCCAGCAAGGGTTGTGTACACCCTTCACATTTCACACTTTATGACCTTAAGAGTTGTTGGGGGGGGGGCTGTTAGTACCTGGAAAGAACTGGCACTGGATAGTTATTTTCTCTGAGATTCATGGATGGTGGATGTGATCGCCAGATTTCAGCAAATGGGCAAGCAACTCCAATGTTGCCTTAGCCTAGGTAAAAATGGGCTGACATTGTTTGATTAAAGATAATGTTGGCCCATCTTCCAGGTAGACCTAGAAGCCATTCCATACCAGAGACACAATCCTCTCTTGGAATATAAGTGACTGAGGGTCATGGGAAAGTAATCAGTGTGATATCAAAGCTCAGGAGTGTCTAAAAATTATAAAACAACATGGCAAACTTTAACTATAAATTAAATACAATTAACAGAAAAAAAAAAGGATAGGTAAAGGCTTCTCTCTCCTTTGAACAGTTCCTAAAAGGACATTGGGTATAGGAGAAACTGGTCATACACCTTGATTAAAATCACAAACAGCATGTTAAAAAAAGCTGGGGTGCAGTAGTTAGTAGGTTGGGGCTTTTGCAGGAAGTGGGAGTAGCAGCAAAAGGCAAATGCCCAAGGAGAAATGGCAAGCATTGGGAGGCCTGTGAGACATGGTGAGGTTACGATTGGAATGAGGGAGGACTGTGGACTGAGCAATTGGCAGCTGGAGTGGCGGAGTTGATCACAGCTGGGATATCTGAGGCAGGACCCTGTGGGAACTAACTGAATGGGGATCCCTGCGAGCATAATTCGACTTGAGAGACCCATTGGTGTGGCAGGGTTGGTCTTCCTCTGGTATGGGTGAGAGCCAGTGGAGGATTGACCTGCCTGTAGAACAGAATAGAACAGAACAGAACAGAACAGAACAGAACAGAACAGAACAACAGTATTTTGGGAACTGGGTTTAGCTAATTTTTTTCTTTTTCTTCTTCTTCCTCTTCTTCCTTCCTTCCTTCCTTACTTTGTCTTTCTTTGAGGTTTACAGAGTCAGCATATTGCTCCCAACTATATGGGTTCTCATTTTACTGAGCTCAAAAGCATGAAAGGCTGAAGCAACCTTCAGCTGGTCAGGATCGAACTCCTGGCAGTGAACAGAATCAGCCTACAATACTGCATTCTAACCACTGCACCACCACAGCTCATGTGTCTAGGAATCCTGAATTCTTAGCATCCCATTAGTTTTACTACGACTAATTGCACAAAATGTAGCCTAAAGATAGTAGACAACGGGTAATCACAACATGAAAAATTAGGCTCTATTTCTTCCTCTCCATAATTGGAGCTTTTGTTTGAGCATAAGAACAATTGTCTGTATTTCCATTCAGGTCTCTTCATGGAAATGATATCTCCACGCTCCCTGAAGGGATCTTTGCTGATGTTACCTCCCTATCTCATCTGTGAGTATCTGTATCATTAATGTAAGCATTTGTTCCTTTTATTCCAAATAGGGTTTTTTAGCATTTTTTTAGGATGGTGCTTGGAGATACAAAGAAGAAAGCACCATTTATTTACTTTTGTTTATTCAGCTGTGCAAAGATGCTAGGCACATGTCTTAGGTAATAACTTTCCTGGACAAAGTACTTCCAGAAATTTTGTAGGTAGCAGTGTTCTCATTAGTTCTGTAGTGATAAGAAGTGTGCTTTGCTGAAATGCGTTGAAGTTCCTTCTGGCATCTGGCATAATCAGTTAGCAGCTTAACTTAATACTCCATTGTGTGCTTACAAGGAAAATTAGCCCTTGAACCCTCTTTCCTCCCAAGAAATTGGAATGTGTATGAAGTCTTCTGCTGCAGTTCAGAAGAATAAAAGACAAAGACTTCTAGATCGAGGCCGGGTTAACACATGACTTAGCAAACTGTGATTTATAAGTTAGAACTTAGTGTGTTGAGAGAAGCCAAGCAAGTGTGTTTATTCAGTAAGACATCACTTAAGTGTGTTGGGTGAACATACCTCAAAACTTTAAAGCACCACAATAGTCCCAATTACAAAGGTTAATACAACTGGCAATGATCTTAATCTTGAGCTCATAGGGGTTTTTTCTGGTAATTGGCTAGGATATTATTCCTTAAGAATGTATATATCTTTTTAGACATATTTATGAGTGCTATCTTTGGAGGAGGAGAAAATTCTACACACACTCTCAACTTACATTCATTGCACAGTATCTGTAACGTCAGAGTATGAGTGATATGAGCATGCAACATTTTACTTGGGGCATTTACAGTAGCAGATTTAGCATCAAGTATTAAGACATCAAATAAAATGCTGAAAATAGAGACTATTCAAAATGCAACAATGTTGCATTTAAAAACAAATGGAAGTAAAAATGGGATTATTAATCAGTTCTAGGACATCTAGAGGCTTTTCTGCAGAGTGACCAGATAAAAGGTACTTGTACTTGGTTCTTGTACTTTGAATAATTATATAGACTTTATGATTCTTTCTGCTGTGCAGAGCAATTGGTGCCAACCCTCTGTATTGTGATTGCCACATGCGCTGGCTCTCAAGCTGGGTCAAAACTGGCTACAAAGAACCTGGCATTGCCCGTTGTGCTGGTCCTGCGGATATGGAAGGCAAACTTCTGCTCACAACTCCAGCTAAGAAGTTTGAATGCCAGGGTAAGATACAGAAGCCTTATAGATATAATGAGATTATAATTTCCAGAATCCCTAACATAACATAACATAAGTTATGTTATCTCATAACAGGCCTAGAGTCTGAGCCCTTTCTTCTGTGTATGTCACACCAATGTAGAATTCTTTGAAAAGTTCTTTTACTTTTTCCTGTGAAAACTATTCCTATGAAAGAAATTTGGGGGGGGGGACCCTGCTTGCTTTGCAGAAAATTAAACTATTTTAACACCAGGACTCAGTATTATGCCTAGGAATAGGTGAATGGGTGTTCTTTTCAGCCATTATCCACTTTTTATATTGTATAAAATATTGTATAAAATACAATAAAATTGTATATTGTATATTGTATGTATATACCCTGTTTCCCCAAAAATAAGACATCCCCTGATAATAAGCCCAATCGGGCTTTTGAGCGCATGGCAATTAGGCCAAGAGCTTATTTCAGGGTTCAAAAAAAATGTAAGACAGGGTCTTATTTTCGGGGAAACATGGTATATACACAAATTTGTCAGAGACCCCATGGTTTCAGCTGTTGGGAAAACGGCAATTCCTTTGAAGAGATACTGATCAGGAAGCACACGATCTTTATAGTCAGATATAAGAAATGTGTCTTTAGTTATTTCAGCTATATTTCCTTAGTCTTATTCATGCAATGTCTTTTTTCATCTATGTAGGACCTCCCTTACCGGTCATCCAGGCCAAGTGTAACCCTTGTCTCTCCAATCCCTGCCAAAACAGGGGCAGTTGTCAAAGAGATCCTCTGGGCTCCTATCACTGTGTCTGTCCCAGTGGTTATAAGGTAAGTATGGTGAAAGGCAGGTGGGTGGGTCACCTAGGAAAAAAAGGGAGTGGGTTTGCTGCCTATTTAAAGTCATATCTTGCCAAGCCTCAGACAGCTGACAAATTTAAGAAGTGAAACCTACATGGATTCAAAAAGATATATATAAAATGTTAGACTGGGTGGTAAACTTCTACATGGGAAATGCTGTGTTCCCACAACACTTTTAACCAAGTTAATGAAAGACATAAGTTCATTCATACAAAATGCTGAGGTTTGCCTTTTTGTGGCTTTGAATGTTGTGCAATACTCTGGATTATTTTATGTTTCAGTGTAGATTGTCCTCGACTTACAACAGTTTGTTTGGTGACTGTTCGAAGTTACAACAGCACTGAAAAAGGCAATTTATGATCACTTTCCACACCTTCAGCTGTTGCAGCTTGCCCGTGGTCATGTGATCAAAATTCAGATCTTGGCAACTGATTCATATTTATGACGGTTATGGTGTTCCAGGTTATGTAATAATCTTTTATGACTCAACAAGAAAAGTCAATGGGGAAACCAGATTCACTTAACAGCCATGCTACCAACAACTGCAGTGACTCACTTAACAACTGTGGCAATAAAGATCGTAAAATGGGGCAACATTCACTTAATAACTGTCTCGCTTAGCAACAGAAATGTTGGGCTCAATTGTGGTCATAAATTGAGGTCTACCTGCATTGTACAAACTCAGAAAATGGGTCAGTTCAGTAGTGAAGTTAAACATGTTCTGTGAACACAACCAATTGTTCCTTTGACATTGAGCAAAAAAAAAGAAAGAAAGAAACGAGGAGAGCTATTTCTGTTAAGAAAAATAATTTAAAAGTTCAGGAAATTTTATATATAACAAGTTAGTCTTGTTTCACTGTACATAGATGGTTGGTGAGCAAGTAATTGGTTTTCAGAACTTGTTTTGGGCAGAACTTTTCCATTTAAAGCAGGGGTTTCCAACCTTGGCAACTTTAAGACTTGTGGACTTCAACTCCCAGAGTTCCTCAGCCAGCAATGGGAGTTGAAGTCCAGAAGTCTTAAAGTTGCCAAGGTTGGAGATTTAAAGTGTGATTGTTTCATTTTATTTCCTTATCTCAGGGCAAATACTGCGACCTATCTGTTGATGGTTGCTCCGACAGACCCTGTGAGAATGGTGGGACCTGCCTGTCTCAAGAAGGAGATGGAGCCAGCTTTAAGTGAGTGGTGGCAGTTTAAGATTTCAGAAAGAGTCTCTGACCTAAAATGGAAAAAAAAAAATCTTGGTTAGCTGCAATACATTATCTGCCAAGAACCCTGGCAGAAACCTATTACAAAATTGCCAGATGTCAAACTAAAATAAATCCAGTTCCATTTTCTCCCTTAAGCCAGAAATAGACCCTGAAAAGTATTGGGAAGTGTTTATTCAGTGTTAATCATATATACTTGCACTCCATGACTTAGGGGACAGGAGAGGTTATTGGTACATGGTCTGATTCTGCAGGCAATTTATTTCTATAACTATGGCTTGGGATTTGGGAGAAAAGCCACTGGAATACATGTATCCCAATGGATTATCAACTGTTTCAGTTTTTTGATACTCTGAACCTTGATGTGTACCCTCCCACTCTCCTCCTCAGAATACAGTGTGGGTGGCTTTCTGGGAAACATACCATAATTAGTAGCTTGAAATAAACTGCATGCAGCAGAGAAAAAATGGGGGCCCTATCCGATCTGTACATTCAATTTGCTAAACTGCTAAATGGCTTTTCATCATATCACCATATCAACATAGCATCTTTAAAAGCCAGCACATAATGTCCCTTGGGAATAACAAAGATTTTTCCCTACACATGCCACTCGTTATTATCCCTTTGTAGAAAGATAGCAAGAAGGAACATGAATGTTTTGATCAAGGGCATCAGAGCTGACAACTCCCTGCCTTTGTTAGGCAAGGTCATCAGTTTTTTTCTGTCTTTGCTTCTTCCTCTAAAGTCCATGCAATAGAAATGCAAATGCCACCATATTATGCAACTCACAATATCTCACAACCTTCATCTACAATATTCTCCTCTACTTTACATGAATGTGTATCTGTTTGAAGGTGTCTCATATATAAATTAGTGTATTCTATGAATCTCCATTATTATACGTGTGGTTCAAACAGGATTGCCTCAAGAAGTACCACGTATAGTCCTCAAACACAGCTACGGAGGTTGCTTTGAAAACTTCAGAAATAGTTAAAATAATAATCTACAACTTCCCCTGCATTGGAATAGATTTAAGGAAGTTAACTGAATAATAATTTATTATTATTATTATTTTTATTAGTCATATTTCTATGCCGCCCACTCTCCGAGGACTCTGGGTGGCTTACACCAAAGACAGTATACTAAATAGCATATTGCCCCATAACAATCTGGGTCCTCATTTTACCCACCTTGGAAGGATGGAAGGCTGAGTCAACCTTGAGCTGGTGAGATTTGATCCGCTGATCTGTTGAACTAGCAGTCAGCTGAAGTAGCTGCAGTACTGCACTCTAACCACTGCGCCACCTCGGATAATAATAATAACAACAACAACAACAACTTTATTGTCATTGTACGTGTATACACAGTATACCCATACAACGAAATTCGCTTAACACCCAAAGACCAGGTCCAACACACATAACAATCCCCAAACAAACTCCCACCCTTCACAAATTCCCCACCGCTAAACCACCCAAACATCCACACAACAGACCAAGTAATCCGTGGATGAGGCATCAGAGGTGGCTCGGGAGTTCATGGCTTCCATGACGGCCATGGACCTGACCCAGTTAGTTCAAGGCCCCACTCACATAGGGGGACACACTCTGGACTTGATTTTTGTCTCTGGTCAGTGGTTGAATGATCTTGGTAGAGGGGAACTAGACATTAAACCCTTGTCATGGACAGATCATTCGCTCCTTCACTTGGATTTTCCTATCGCTTCCCCCCACCGCAGGGAGACGGAACCGACCAGATGGTTCCGTCCCAGGCGCCTGATGGATCCCGAAACGTTCCTGACAGAGCTTGGGCCATTTCCTGAGACTCTGACACACGACTCGACTGAAGAGCTGGTGGCCGCCTGGGAGAGTGCGGCCGCTGGAGCTTTGGATCGCGTCGTGCCTTTGCGGCCTCTGACCCGATGCCGATCTCAATTGGCTCCTTGGTTCTCTGAGGAGCTGAGAGAGATGAAGCATCAGAAAAGGCCCCCAGAGAGCATTTGGAAGACTAGTCAATCCGATTCCGACCGGACACAGGTGAGGTCTTATGTCAAGACCTACCTAGTGGCAATAAAAACGGCAAAATCTAACCATTTTTCCGCTCTTACCGCATCTGCAGAGAACCGCCCAGCCACCCTGTTTAGGGTGACCCACTCCCTTCTTCGGGGGGGAGTGCGGGAAGATCCCTTGCAGGGTCTTGCTGAGGATTTTGTGCAATTCCTGCATGATAAAGTCGCCCGGATTCGGGATGGCTTGGACTCCGATTGGATGAGTCCAGGGGAGGAGACGAGGGTAGGTCTTGAGAATATTCTCTGGGAGGAGTTTGATCCTATGGCTCCCGAGGATGTGGACAGGGTTCTGGGTAAGATTAGTGCCGCCATGTGTTTATTGGACCCGTGTCCCTCCTGCTTGGTACTGGCCTCCCAGGAGGTTACACGAGTCTGGCTCCAGGGGATTATAACTGCTTCTTTGAGTGAGGGTGCCTTTCCTGCCGCCTTGAAAGAGGCGGTGGTGAGGCCCCTCCTCAAGAAGCCTTCCCTGGACCAGGCTGAATTAGCCAACTACCGTCCGGTCTCTAACCTTCGTTTTGTGGCGAAGGTTGTTGAAAGCATGGTGGCACAACAGCTTCCCCGACACCTGGATGAAGCTATCTATCTGGACCCGTGCCAGTCGGGCTTCAGGCAGGGGTACAGCACAGAAACGGCATTGGTCGCGTTGGTGGATGATCTCTGGAGGGCTCGGGACAGGGGTTGCTCCTCTGTCCTAGTCCTATTAGATCTCTCAGCGGCTTTTGATACCATCGACCATGGTATCATGCTGCAGCGGTTGAGGGGGTTAGGAATAGGGGGCACCGTTTTGCGGTGGTTCTCCTCCTTCCTCTCCGACTGCTCGCAGTTTGTGTTGGCAGGGGGGCAGAGATCGACCTCGAGGCACCTCGCATGGGGAGTGCTGCAAGGGTCGGTCCTCTCGCCCCTTCTGTTCAACATTTATGTGAAGCCGCTGGGTGAGATCATCCATGGTTTTGGGGTGAAGTGTCATCTGTACGCTGATGATACTCAGATGTACATCTCCACCCCAGACCACCCCAACGATGCCCTTAATGTGATGTCTCGCTGCCTGGAGGCCGTGCGGGTCTGGATGGGAAGGAACACGCTCAGACTCAACCCCTCAAAGACCGAGTGGCTGTGGCTGCCGGCATCCCAATATAGTCAGCAGGTGCCATCGCTGACTATTGGGGGTGAATCTTTGCCCCCCACAGAGAGGGCTCGCAATCTGGGTGTCCTCCTGGATGCACGGCTGTCTTTAGAAGAGCATATGACGGCCGTGGCCAGGGGGGCCTTTTATCAGGTTTGCCTGATTCGCCAGTTGCAGCCCTTTCTGGACCGGAACGCCTTGCGCACAGTCACTCACGCCCTTGTCACCTCCCGGCTGGACTATTGTAATGCTCTCTACATGGGGCTCCCCTTGAAGAGCACTCGGAGGCTCCAACTGGTCCAGAATGCGGCCGCGTGGGTGGTTATGGGCGCAACTCATTGTGCCCATGTGACACCCCTCCTGCGCGAGCTGCACTGGCTTCCAGTGGTCTTCCGGGTGCGATTCAAGGTGCTGGTTACCACCTTTAAAGCACTCCATGGCATAGGACCCGGGTACCTTCGAGACCGACTTCTGCCACCAATAGCCTCCCACCGGCCAGTTCGCTCCCACAGAGAGGGTCTCCTCAGGGTGCCATCAGCCAAGTTATGTCGGCTGGCGACACCCAGGGGGAGAGCCTTCTCTGTGGGAGCCCCAGCCCTGTGGAATGAACTGCCCCCGGAAATACGTAAGATCCCCGACCTCCGGGTATTTCGCTGTGCACTGAAGACCCTGTTGTTCCGACAGGCCGGGCTATCGACATGATAATTTTAAATTGGGGTATTTTAAATTTCTGGGGTTTTAAATGGAGCCAAATTTATTTAATAATTTTAAATTTTAAATTGATGTTTGTCTTGTGTTTTTAAATAAGCTGTACACCGCCCTGAGTCCTTCGGGAGAAGGGCGGTATAGAAATAAAATTATTATTATTATTATTATTATTATTATTATTATTATTATTATTATTCTGTCCAACAGCTCATTGATGGTGGCCCTTGAGTTCATTGTTGAGTGCAATTATAGCTCTGGGATAAAAACTATTCAGAAAACATGTGATCCAAGTTTTAATTGTAATTGAAAAATAACTCAGGATCAGGATTCTCACATTTGTGCTTTTCTCTAGTTCTTTCCAAAGGCTCTGCTTTTTCTTTTTGGTGCTAACATCGAAGACCGCAGTAGGATGCCATTCCATCTGTCCCAGTACTTAAAGCAGCTTTAGCTCGTTTTCAGTTCAGGGCCTTCTGGAGTGGTGCAACTATCTCCTGCAGTTGGAGGCCAAAATGCTTGGTGTATAAGATGGATAACAAGATGGAACACTGAGAATTATGAAGCTACTGAACCCAGTTTCAAAAAAGAAGTAGCATCCCTATTTTTCATCTTTCTTAAAATTTAGATAAGGGTATAAATTCTAGAAAAGCCTAAAAGAAAATGTTTCAAAGTATCAAATAGCTCTTATTTTCCTTATTCATAGATGTGCTTGTGTAGATGGATTTGAAGGTCCAAGATGTAATCTGAAGACGAATAGTTGCAACAACAGTTGCAAGAATGGGGGCACATGTGTTAATGGGTCCTCTAACCACACATGCTTGTGCCTACCCTTCTATACAGGTATGACTTCAATTGTAAGCTACTGCTTATAGTGGGGGAGGGGGGGTTACAGAGCTTCTGCTTTTATTTCTGAAGAGAGCAAAATTGTCATAGTGTCTAAAGTGACCTTATATGGTGTTGGGAATGGGGAGGTCCATATCCAGACTACTAATATGATTTTATTATCCATCCCTTCTTATAAATTGAGAGGATTATATTGGATAATTATGTTAAATGTATCCTATTTTGGCAAATGTTTGTTTTTACCTTTTCTTAAGTGCAGAAAACAGCTAGTGAAAAGATAAGCTGCTTCATTCTCCTCATGATTAATTCTTCAGAATTGCTATAGACAGTGGAGATATTTTCTGTTGGCTGGTATCTTACTAAATTTGACATTTGGAAGAGGAAGGGAAAGGAGTGAGTAGGCTTTCTGGCCTAATAGTCAAAATACTTATGTATAATGTGTAGCTCCTTGCATGACCTCAAAAAGTTGAATGGTTTCTGCATAATAGGAAAAAAAAACATCTGTTTATTTTAATGTCACAGAATTTACTTATTGTGCATAGCTATCCTGAAAAAAAATGCAAGTCAACCACCTGAATTGGCTAACATAAAAAGGATCAGGGATATTTCAGCTTTTGAATGACTGAATGTTTCCATCTCATAGGTCCAAAAGGCAAAGATTTTAGCAATACATGTTATTGTTCACTAATGCTATAATGCAAATAGGGATTCTTGAGGTCAAATATGGGCTTTCCTCCTTTCTATGTACCATTTCTTTGGGGCAGAATGAGGCAAATTCAAGGAGAGACACTATTTGTTATGCTTCTACCTTATCTCTGTATTTTTCCCACAGGGACATATTGTGAACAGCCGATGGATGTATGTTCCCCTGAGCTCAGCCCCTGCCAGCATAATGCCATATGTAGAGTCTCCCTTGATGGACCCAAGTGAGTGAGGGAAAGAGTGGAGTTTGGGGAGAAGAAAAAGATTTAAAAACAAGTGGAGGACATGAATGTGTATCAAATAATGTATAGTGGAGTTAGGAAAAACACAGTTATATTCATTGCCTCAGCCATTTCCTTGCTGTTCTTTTGAGCACTAGCCAGGCCCTCTCAATGACTGGATCGCATTCTTGTTCCTGCTTCCAGGTGTGAATGTATGCCTGGTTATGCGGGAGATAATTGCAGTGTGGACTACAATGACTGCCTAAACCACCAATGCCAGAACAATGCCAAGTGTTTTGATGAACCAAATGGTTATTCCTGTCTTTGTACTGGTGGTTTCAGGTAAGGATGCTAGATGGAGATATTGCCAGAATTCACATAATTTCTACAAAAATACCAAGTGTTCTGCAAAGCTCAGGACCGAGGTTTGCCCTTTATTGGATGATTGATCCTTTTCCCAGTTGCCTGAAATATAGTCAGGAGAAAGAAATGTAACAAAAGGAGTAGTGTTTGCAAAAACATAAAAGTAGTGACCAAACTTATTAGTAACTAGTTGTTTCCAGAGTGGCTTCATTACCCTTGCAAGACGGCGATCCCGTAGCATTTTTCATGTGCTTTCAACAACAGGTTGATCACAATGCCACCTGTTTATTTGAAATCTTATCCAATTTGTTTCAAGAAGCAGTGTCCAAAAATAGATGCCACAGCATTCTCCTTCCAGTATGGTTGGACCATATTTTTATTAAGTCAGGAAATAGCAGACAGCAAGTTGAACAACAAATCTGATTTCCTGGGATGCAAAATATATGATTACTTGAATTATGAGAAAATATTAATAGAATTTATACACCTGGGTGATGCCAATGATGGTTTATGAGATGCTGAAAATGAGGGATCCATTTAGAACATTGGAATGATAAGGGAACACATCCTGCTTCCAAAAATGTATCAATTTCAATAGCTGATTCTGGCAATAAACTTGTGCCCTGTTGTATGCTTGCTTCATTCTAGTGGTCAGCTCTGTGAGATCCCATCTCATGGCTCCTTTCAGTCCAGTCCCTGTGAGAGAGTGGAGTGCCAGAATGGTGCCAACTGTGTGGAGCTAGGCAATCGTGCCTTATGCCAGTGCCTTCCTGGCTTTGGAGGGCTCAAATGCGAGAAGCTACTGAGTGTCAATTTTGTGGATAGGGACACATACCTACAATTCACAGACTTACAGAATTGGCCCACTGCCAATATTACTCTGCAGGTAAAAGAGATTTAAGTCTTTGCCCCAGCCCTCCAAGAAGAAGCATTATCTACTTTCTAGTACAATGTTGGTTTTCCTATCTGTTGTTTTCCCACTCCCTTGTTGTCTGCAGGTCTCCACAGCTGAAGATAATGGGATTCTATTGTATAACGGGGACACTGACCACATGGCAGTGGAACTTTATCAAGGCCATGTGCGTGTCAGCTATGATCCAGGCAGTTACCCTAGCTCAGCTCTTTATAGGTAGCTCTTTGATTTCTCATTCAAACAAAGGGCAGTTTGATGAAATATGAGCAAATTTGTCTGCATGATCCTACAATCTGCACACTGACTTTTGGGGGTGAAGGGGAGATGCTAAGGTTTAGATCAGGGTCCAACAACGTATGTTGAGAGTTGATGTAGAAAGGAGAGCGTGATCTTTAAAGAGAGTGTTGAATGAATGTTGGGTGATCAAGATTGTAGATGTTAAGATGTCATGAAAATGATGTCTACAAGAGCCTTTCTCATCCCATCTCTCTCTTTTCTCCCAGTGCAGAGACCATCAATGATGGACAGTTCCATACAGTGGAACTGGTAACATTTGAGCGGATGGTAAACCTATCTATCGATGGAGGTGATCCCATGACCATGGATAGCTTTGGCAAGGCCCACACTCTGAATTCTGAGGCTCCACTCTATGTGGGGGGTAGGACTGCAATCTCTGTTGGGGAACAGGGAAGCAATATCCTGCTGAAACCAGAGAGAGCATCAGTTCTTTCCAACACTTCCACACTTTTACAAGGAGGCTACCATATGGACTAGGAGGTTCTAATAATTCTTAGTTTGGACCATTTATACACTATCAATTGGGAGAAGGAGGAAGAGAAGGAATTTTTTCTTTCTCCTTTTCAGAACAGAGGCCAATATGTAGAGAGTCAAGGAGACAAGAGGGCCATTGGCAGGTGGAACGAAGTAGTGTAATTGTCTGGGCTCAGTATTCCCTAAATTGATATCTCTGGCTTTAACATTTTTCTACAATATACTAGGCCAGTCTTCTCCAACTTGCTATGCTCCAAATAATTTATGAAATTGATTAAATTGCAGTCCCAGCATGTTTAAAGTGTATCAGTTTGGGAAAAGCGGAGGCTGAGACTTTCAAAGTTTATTTCCTTACATCAGTCATGTTCTTACTCACCAGCACTCTGATCTTTTTTTCTTCCCTGCCTGATGTTGCTCCTATGGCCCTCTCTCACCAGGCATGCCAGTGGATGTGAATTCTGCTGCCTTTCGAGTTTGGCAAATCTTGAATGGTTCCAGCTTCCATGGATGTATCCGCAATTTATACATCAACAATGAATTACAAGACTTTACTAAGACTCAGATGAAACCAGGAGTTGTTCCTGGTTGTGAACCTTGCCGCAAGCTCTATTGCATGCATGGCATTTGCCAACCCAACACTGCTCATGGACCCATTTGTTACTGTGAGTCAGGCTGGACTGGCCCCCATTGTGACCAGCCCATTATTAACCCTTGCCAGGGACACAAGTAAGTACAAGTGTTAAAATTCTTTTCTGCTAGATCTGGGGAATACAATCTTTTTTTGGGGGGCGGGGGGGAGAGCAAATGTGGAATTATGAGAACACTCACAGGACATCTGCCATAGGAATCTTGCCTATTCATAGCTGCTATGACATATGTGGCCAGTCACAAAATATCCAGGAGAAAAAAGAATCCTGGATATGCTCTATCTTCCCAGTGGGGCCTTTGATAATGGACTTTGATGTGTGAGAAAAGAAAATGTGCTTGTTTCAGCCATCACATACCAGTTAAGTCAACAAAACCTGGAACATTTTGGTTATGAGTTTTAAAATAATAGATGCTACAGGTAGCTCCATTATCTTGTGGTATTTTAACTTCTAATTTCATTTTGTTTTAATTAGAATAATTTATAAAGAAAATCAGGTGGTCAGAAAATGTGGTTGGCACTAAGTGAAGTGTACAAGGGCCTGTTAGAGCCAGTTTGCTCTAGTGATTAAAGCACCAGGCTAGAAAGCAGGAGACCGTGAGTTCTAGTCCCACCTTAGCCATGAAAGCCAGCTGGATGACCTTGGGCCAGTCACTTTGTCTCAGCCCAACTCACCTCACAGGGCTGTTGCTGTGAGAAAAAAATAGGAGGAAGGTGTGTTGAATAGGTTTGCTGCCTTGAGCTATTTGTAAAAATAATAAAGGTGGGATACAAATAAATAGATAAATATTACTGTCCATTGCTTGAAACTATCCCTGCAAATCAGGTATCTCATTACAATGCTGTGAGCAAAAAACATGTATTGAGAGTATCTTCATTGCTGAAAGATTTATGTCATACATGGATCCCTAAGTTACTAATTGTCTCCGATTGAAGATAGTAGGGAAGAGTTGAAAAGTGATACTGGCTTAAGTGCAATTACATGTATCTATTTTATTTTATTTATTTATTTAATTTTGTCGAGTACATATTAGATAATATATATAAGTATAAGCATGAATTGAATACATAAAATGAATACAATTAAAGGGAACATTAGGACAGGGATGGTAGGCATGCTGGTGCTCTTATGCACACTCCCTACAGACCTCTTAGGAATGGGGTGAGGTCAACAGTAGACAGTTTTAGGTTAAAGTTTAGGGGGTTTGGGGATGAGACCACAGAGTCTGGTAGTGCATTCCAAGCATTAGCAACTCTGTTACTGAAGTCATATTTTCTGCAATCGAGTTTGGAGCAGTTCACTTTAAGTTTGTATCTATTGTGTGTTCGTGTATTGTTGTGGTTGAAGCTGAAGTACTCGTTGACAGGTAGGACATTGTAGCTTTATTTATCTACCTAGCTTTATTTATCTACCTAGCTTAATGTCTCACTTTATCTTCAGGTGTGAACATGGAATCTGTATGCCTCTTGATGCACTTTCCTATAGTTGCCAGTGCCAAGATGGTTACAAAGGAGCCTTATGCAACCAGGAACTTGAACTACGTAACCCATGCAAGAGCCTGGAGTGTGTTCATGGTCAGTGCCAGATCTCAGATGCAGGAGAGGCCTATTGTGAATGCAACTCAGGATTTGATGGGGATTTCTGTGATCAAGGTTAGAAACATTTGTTTCCATATGTGTTGACCATTAATAAATAATGACACTAAGGGAATTTCCCTTCTGTGCAAAAAGTTAGGTTCACATTTTTGCTGGCAAGTCATATTAACCCAGTCCTCTGTGAATGATAGAAACCTTATTCAGGAATCAACTTCCTCCTGGAAGTGAACATTCTAGCAAGTAAAATATTGTTTCTCTGAGATGATAGGAAAGCTTCTTGGCACATCAGCTGCAGCATAGGAGGTCCCTGTAAGCAGTTTCTTCCAACTATGGTAGTTATAAGTGACTTGAATAATGAAGGAACATGAGCAATGCAGCCACAATTCCCGGGGTTTAAAATCTAGAATGATTCTTTACTGTCAACAAAATTATATCTTCTATTTCCATTGGAGAAAGCAGAGGCATAAGTAAATAGTGCTTTTCTGAGTCTGTCTCTAAACTATTGGAAGCCTCAACAAAAACAAGTATGACAACAGATAGCAGAGCATTATTTTAGATGCCCTTCGCTAGAATCCCCCATTTCATGAGGATAATGACTATGACAATAAAATCATGACATTCTTAAAGTCATCCTTTTGTCTGACCTTTCTGTTTTCCCCAGAATCAGAGTGTCGGGGAGAGGCTGTGCGAGATTTCCATCAAGTCCAGCGAGGTTATGCCATTTGCCAGACAACACGCCCAGTGTCCTGGATGGATTGCCAGGGATCATGCCCAGGATTAGGCTGCTGTGGAGGACTGCGTCTTAAGCGCAAGAAATATACCTTTGAGTGCAGCGATGGCTCATCCTTTGTGGAGGAAGTGGAAAAACCTAGCAAATGTGGCTGTTCCCATTGCATGTAGTCTCCGGTGAAGGGCAGGCCATAGCCAGAGACCTAAGGGTGAGACCTGCCCTAGCAGAAGCTTTGGGAACAGTCAGGAATCTGAGCAGTTCCTTTATTATGGTCATGGTGGTTATTCAGGACAGAAGAGACAAAGGTGTAGATAAAAGCGGTTTGTTTGTTGTTGTTTTTTGCTGGCAAATCCAGCTGAACAGATGTATTTATATCCAGCACGGATTCTACCTGGGGCCACTGATTGGGCACACCATGGATTCTTATTGAAGATCTCTACAATTGTTTTTGCTGCCCAATGTAATGTCCTAAGAACCATGCCCATGGGTCATGCCTGGCCTCAGGAACCAGTCATTTTGTATCTTTTGTACCTTAACTGGAATCTCCTAGCTGCACCATTTTTTTTTCTTCTGTTGGCCAATTCTACTTTTTCTCTTATCGAGTAGCTTCTCTTATTCTCATTCTTAGTACCTGCTCATGGTAACTTCATCTTCTGTTTATGGGGCTAAATTGCAAGCAGTACAGTGACCAGGAGCAAAGGGAACATTGTTACAAGACTAGAAAAGAAAAAAATACTTAAGAAATTGAGGAAGGAATTGTTGCTGCCTACAGCTTAATGGTTATAAAACACTGAGGAATAAAAACAGCTTAGACATGCAATTGCATTGTAGTCATTACCTGAAAGCTGCCTTCATTTATTAATAATTAAAAAAAACAGAACGGCTGAACCACTGGCATTACTATTGCTGTACTGTTGCAATTTGATGCTAACTTATTCAGAAGTAAAACCTACTCAATTCCATGGAATTTAATTTCTAAATAAGATTGTGATTACATGAAGGCTAAAGAACCTACAGGGCTACAAACTGCAGGTCTGCTGACAGGGAGGAAAAGGACTACATCCAATTCTTGTTGCAAATTCTCCAACTGCCACAATCATTTCTTTGATTCTTTACTCTTATCAGTCTTCTATACCATAAAATCATTTTTTACTACATATCACTTGATTATTGTAAGAAATAAGTTTGCATTGATGGAAGATGTCAGTTCTACCGTTCATTGCTATCACCTATAGAATAACCTTGTTCACACCAATCAGTATTCATGGAAGAAAGATGAACAGCATGTATCTCTTGCATTCAGCTTATTGTATTATTTTTCAGCCCTGCAATAGGATGCAGCAGGCCTTCCCATAAAATAGAAGACTTGTCCTTCTGTAAATGAGAAAGGAATGAGATTAGGACTTTGCTGCATCCACTGGGAATAAGATGGAGCAAGGCATTTAAAATAAAATAAGATCCCTGCTTGAGAGAAGGCTTTTGTGGAGTACCTTAACTGCAGGAACAATTTGCTCAAGGTTTCCTATCAGTAAATGAATTCTGTTTGTACTTCTTACAATTAGTTGACATGTACAATACTAGTAGCTTTAAATTACAAAAACAAAGGAGATTTTCTGTATTACTGAAGACCTAAATTTTACAAAAATTGGCCTTCTCTCTCTCTTTCATGCACATACAGACATAAATTAAGCAATACACTTGCAGTTTATTTGCATAATTTATTTTGCTGCTGGTTGGGAAAAGCAAGGATGTCTATTAGACATCAGGGCTGCTAGTTCCAGATTATATTGTGATTATTTTCTGTCATGTTGTAACTAACTTCAGGGGGTTCTAAAGCCAAAAGCTTTCTGAGCTGATTTGTTTCTTGGCACATCAGTTGGCAAAATGACATTCTTTCTCATTGAACTTTTCTCCATTCATATTGTTGATGCATCTAGAGGCGCAGTTCGCCATTGCTTCTATTCTCAGGATGCCAGAACCAAGAGAGTTGCTACAACCTTGCCGATGGTTACCTGGTCATAAGGCAGATGGCTTGGACTTTTAAAGCAGTCGCTACTCACCCTATCACAGTGCCAGTTTTCTGTTGCATTAGCATTTTGTACAACTGTGTTCACCCCCAGTTCACCATATCGTCCTGATCCTGTCTTTCGTGATTGGTGACTCCTTTTTTTATCATACTATATTCCACTTATATTGTAGCTAACCAGTATATCTGCAGGCTATCACACTATTTGCCCTTGTGGGTGCATCCTTGTCTTTCCATGTAGGGATCCTACTGATAGAAAATATTTATCCTTTTCCAGCTTTTGAAACCTCATCAGATAGTAGACATAAAAAATAACCCTGCTAGATTGAGAAAAGGCCCCCTTTGTTTCTCATGGGGGCCACCCAAATGCAACTGGATGCTTGGAAGTAGGAAATGGAGATACTGGATGCACCTTTCTGGCCATTGTTCCCCTGCAACGTATATCTAAAAGCCTGCTCCCCATGCCCTGGAAGTAACCTTGGGAGCTGACACTATTTCCCGATACCTTTATAGCACAGTGATGTTACATTCTTTTAAGTCACCTGGAGGGCTTATTCAAATATTAAATAAGCTCATGGTAGGTATTATCATGCAGCAGCCTTGCAAGAATGCAGTTATTAAGCAATCACAGTCTGATGCAAGCTTTGAGGCCTTAAACTCTACCAATGTTCTTGTTTCCAAGACAACCTCAGCCAGGTGTCTGTTGTTTGAAACCTATGACTTTTTTTTTTTTTTAACAAAAGGTTCCGCTGGATAGGTAACTCCTTGGCAGTAGCTTGAGAGCATGTGACACGTGCGATCTCAAGGTAACCGTTTCTAAAACATCAGATTTTATTGTATAGCAGTTTCAGTAAGATATTCCCGAGGGTGAAATAGATTACTATAAGTGTATGCATGGTGTCCATTAAACTGGCAGTAATAAAGAAATAGCAGTAATAAAGCCATCTACTTCCTGTGGGGATATGCAGGAAGCTAGGGAGTGATTACTCAGTGAGTTCTTGCAGAAGCTCCTTTTCAAGGTACATAAGAGTTATCTCTGTGTATGAGCTTGTGCCTACATTCCCTGGCTTACTTTGGGACTTGTGCTATTGCTTGCTACATGGGTAAATGGAATAAAACTGAGGTTTATTCTGCTATGGCTATTGAGACTTGCTGAAATCTAAATCAGATTCAAATACATGATTTACAGAGGCATTTTAATCACTACCATGCTTCCTAATATTTTTCATTTTTATTCTAGAAACCCTGCAAAAAGTTAATTGTATTCTTTTTCTTACTGAGAAAATGAAACTTTTGAACTTTTAGGATGACACAAAATATATACCTAGGGCTCTTAACTTTTTTAACGACTTCCTATTTCTAATGGTAACCATTAGAATCTACAGAATATCATGTCTGAATTTGTACACCGTGTTTGCCAATGCAATACATAAGACATATGTTTGAATAAACAAAGTGACATTTGATCATGCTTACATGCCTAAATTTAGCTGATTATGACCAACTCACCCTCCATTCTGTATATACACTTAGAAATATGGGCCTCAACTCTCATAATTTTCATTTAATACATTCTTTGGTCATAATATGAGTCAAAGTCTGGAATGGATTTATTTGAAATCAACAAAAATAATGTGATTCTTTGTCTTCTTCCCTTTCTAAGGATTCCCATGTCATTTGGTACTTATAAGACTGTCAAAGCACAATTCCTTAATTCAGATTAGTACTGACTTTTTAAACTGGTGAAGCAATGGTGTCTCACTAACCTCTGCATTTGAAAATTGTACTAAGCTTTGTATGAACATTATTGAAAACAATACTTTTGGTGTCCCAACAGTCTAATCAATGCCACACCTGAATAATCATGTGAACTGCCTTGCTTATGTAAGCTAACATACTCCTTTATACATATACCTTCTTTAGAGCAGCAATCTTGTTATAGATTTTGAAAAAAGTAGTTTGTGATTTTTCACATGGGAAGATAACATTAATTCAATCAGAGACATGAAACTAACCATCTCTGTCTGTAACAAAATATGTGTCATCTTCCAACTCCTATAATGGTTGTCCAAGTAAAATATGCTGTGTTCAGTTTTCTAAGAAAAATGTCAAAATGATGAGTTTTCCTCATTATATGATGGAGGAGTACTTCTTTGTCACCCAATCCTGCTGCTTTTTAATAGGAAACAAAGAAAAATAGATTAGTGGATTCCACATATTTACTTCAATAAGAATCTGTCTCTCCTTTCTACCCAAAACAGGAAACAATAGACTGAAAATTCCAGTCAATAAAATCAAATTTTTATTCCTCTGCCTTCTAATTATACAGCCTCTATTATATGTGTGTAGGCATGCATGTATGCATACCAAGTTGGTGTAGCAATTAAGGTACCAGCAATTAAGGTGTAGCAATTAGAAGTCACCTGTACTAGTGGTGGGTTGCTCCTGGTTCTGTCCGGTTCTTTAGAACCAGTAGTAAAAGCGGCTGGAGGTTCCGCCCACATGTCATAATTGACGAACTGCCCATGTGCAGAAGCTTCTTCTGCACATTCCGTTGTGAACCGGTAGTAAAGGTAAGTAGAACCCACCCCTGACCTGTACCAATCTTTTTCCACCTTTGGAAGATGACAGTGGCAAACCACTTTTAAAGATGTAGCCAAAAAAACAATGTGTGGACTTACCTGAGCAGTTTCATGAGTTAAGAATGACTTGAATCCACTATAAACACATGTATCATTGTATCACTTTTCACAAATCAACTTTGCAGCAGGTTTTCATACATCCTGCTTTTGTTCTTTGATGTATACAATGCATCCATGCAAATGTGCCTGGCATTTATGCATGCAATATATTTGCTCTTTTTTTAAAAAAAGTATTTTAATATAGTTTATGCAACATTTATTTTTCTACTTGGTTTTGATCTCATAAGCTGAAAAGATCTTGGAAAACTGTCACATTATTCTTACAAAAGAAAAAAAAAGGAAAAATGTGCCCTTTTTGAAACTTGAAAACAATAGAAAAAATATTTGCATCATTTGGACATAAATTGCAAAAATTAGCATACTGGATATTCAATATTGAAGGATTTTATTACATTCTGTTCTTATTTTAGACCAAAGTGAAACACCAGCATGAGAATTGTAAGAGAGCCCATTTCTGGCTTAGTATTTCTATTACCACTTAGCCTTCTGACTTAACTATTGCCATAACTCTGAAGGGAGAGGGAGAGGTGATTTACTCAGCAGTGAGCTGTAAGAAGTTAGCAATTCTCTCTTAACTCTTGTCCAATGTTCGGCATGGAGATAGGAGCAGTGAGATATAAGACACCTCATGTAGGCAGCAGTGCTAAGGCAGGGGAGAAAAATATCTACATACAGGTAGTTCTCGACTTACAATAATTCATTTAATGACTGTTCAATGTTACAATAGCACTGAAAAAGTAGCTTATGACCCTTTTTCACACGTATAAGTGTTGCAGCATCCCTGTGGTCGTGTGATCAAAATTCAGACACTTGGCAACTGACTAATGTTTATGATGGTTGCAGTGTCCCGCAGGGGTCATGTGATCACTTTTTGTGACCACCTGACAAGCAGAGTCAACAGAGAAGCCAGGTTCACTAATGACCTTGTTATTAACTTAATAACTGGAATGATTCACTGAATAATGTGACAAGAAAGGTCATAAAATGGGACAAAGCTCACTTAACAACTGTCTCACGTAGCAACAGAAATTTTGGGCTCAATTGCGGTCGTAAGTTGAGGTCTACCTGTAGTTTCACATTGTAGAATTTAACCTAATGAAGTGGTGGATCAAATAGGAAGGAATACTTAAGTAAAAAAAAAAAAAGCAGAAGAAAAAGAGTTGACATTGAAACAGGTCTTGAATAAGCATGCGTTGGACCAGTCTTCCCTGATCTGGTATAGTCAAAATATTTTGACTATAACTTCCAGAATGTCCAAGCAGCAGAGTCAAAAGCTCTGCTTATGTTCAGCTTTCCTCAGGATTTTGATAGCTATTTCTTCATTACTACAATTGTCTCTATAATCTCCACCAATAAAATGAAGCCAGGTGAGAGATGGGCTGCTTTAGTTTCATATATTAAAGTGGGGGTTATAATTAACAAAGAAATATTATCAAGCACTTCTGATTTTTCAAAGATTCAATATCTGGTGTATTCACTGCAACTGGTATCTCAAAATAGCCATTGAAATTGATAATCAGCTTGATCTTCCATCAATCGGCTAAAAAAAACTTGTGAAACACTAGTGAATTGTGGACCATGGCTTAAAAATTTTTATATTAAACTTCATCACACCACACCAGTGCTGACATTTTAAAAAGTTTAATAAGCTGCAATAAAATAAGGACCCATGGAGTACATAGAGTCCGTCACAATGCATAAAAGAAAGCAGCACAGAAAAAAGATAAAAGGATTAAATCACTTTCCATTGGTTAGTCAAAGAAATAACAGACACACACAAGTATGAAGCTGACACAATTGATACAATTTCAATGGTAAAATAGCCCTAGCTGTTATAGGTTTATGAATTACTGGAAAGCAACTGAGAATTACCTTTTATATACATTTAAAATGTTCTTCAGATGAGGTATATAACCATTATCTAATGACACATTTTAACCAACAATACACAACAGACACATTCTTCTCCTAACATCACAGCATTTTCCTGTGCCCTGAAGAGAAGAAAAGGATCTACAATCAAACCCTTCCAAAAATGCTACTTATCGTATGTAGGGTTTGGATGACAATATCAGGCTGGTCAAACATGGGGAGGAGATATCCCCATACATGATTCTTGAGATGGGATAGAAAGGACTGCTTTGGATAAAGAAATAAAAACCTTTGTGAGAGGAAGGAATATAAATTAATGCATAGAATATAAAATTGCCAAATGCATTTGTTTGCTTGTTGAGTGCAAGACATTGATGAGGGCTCATTGAACTCCCCCCCCCCCCAAGTTTTCAGGTATGCTATTGGAAAATAAAATGATTGCAGAAGGTTAGAAGCCTGCTCCCTATACTAAACCTCCTGTAGCAACTTTGTAAGAGAAGTGAAGACATTAACAACAAATGCAGGCAGGAGTTAAATTTCTGGATAGCAGAAAGTGGGTGCAAGAATTAGCAAAAAGGAGCTACATATAGGATTATGTCTTAAAACAGGCAACTAATAGATTTCCAGAAAGAAGAATGGAGCAAGCATTTTCAACAGCCCAAAGCACATGAAAATCACACGCTTAGGAATATCCACACAATCCCATAAAAATAATTATCAAATAAAAGAGAATGATATCTTAAATAGCATAGTGCGACCTAAGGAGTGTTAAGAGAGAGGAACTAGGGAATATAAAAGTATGATCCAAGAAATAAAATAAAAATAAAGAGGCCAAAAAAATAGGACCTAGCTCAACGCAGCAGCTCAAGATTTGGAGTGAGAATAAGAATTGACAAGAATCAGCTGCAAATGATAGAAAGCAAACAAACATTCCTCATATGTGCCACTGCCACCCTGCCACCCCCCGCCCCCCCAACTTCTAGTAAAATCTCCTTTTATTCACTATCCCTGAGTCCATATCCCCAATCAATACATTTATTCTGGATTGCCAGTTATTCCCTGTGATGATGCCCAAACATGCAGTAAGACTGAAACATAAGATGTTTCTTTCTTTAGGTGGCAAGACCACTGAAGAGAAGCAGGCTTTACTGAGACATGCATACATAGGCATACGGCCGCTCATATGCCATTTTTTTCACAAAAAACTTTATTACTAGAATTCTTATTGCTTTCAAGTGCTGTGCCTAAAAGTGCACGTGACCAAGCAGTTTTCAAAGAACTGTGCTCAAGTTGAATTTTCAAGTCACTTCCACAGAAGAAAAAAAAAACGAGGAAAAAAAAAAACCCTATCATATCATGCTTTGAATCCATTTGATGTAGCTTTTACAGAGATGGTCAGTCTGTGTCTGTGCTATTCTCAATTCAGCCTGAAAGTTTTAAGAATTTTAATTCCTGTCTACTATAACACAGCACTTGTGCTAATGCAGAATGTAGTCTATAATGGTTTTATAATGCTTAATATCAAGATTTCTGTATTAAAGGTGTTGGTTTTAACATAAAGGAATATTTAATGACGAGTGTGAGATATTTAGCCCATGCACAGGCTTACATCTCAGTAAGATCTGGAATTTGATTTTGCAGCATAAATTCCAGACCAGTTGACAGTTCTTCTGTTTAATGCTATTTGCAGTAGGAAACATGCCTTTATTATTATTTTTTTTAAAATACCACCACCTTTCTATAATATTGCAAACCAACAGAACTCCTGAGACTTGTCAGCACAAAATACAGGAAATAAATATTTAAAACTATTTATATTTACATTATTATTCTTCCATTTTGTGACTACCTAGGGAGAAAGGCAGAATTTATCCTGCACCTAGGAAAGCATTTTAATCTCTAGCCAGATGCTGGGCAAACACAGCATCATGTCCATGTGTCTGTACTACACACACATATACATATATGTCTATATTCAATTGCATTTCAATGTAATGCATACACACACACTTGGAAATTTTTGATAGCAATGTAAAGAGTTATTTATGCAAATGATTACATACATGTTAGAAAAATCATTCATTTTTAATTATTTAGGAAGCCTGCTCAAAAAACAAGCTTTTAAAGAAGAGAAGAGTTTACTCTCAATGCAAATTTGAAACTCCTGAGATTATCCTAAAATAAGTATTCTGCAGTCCCTTGGGTAAATGCAAAAAACAACAACCCTTTTGTTCATCTATTCAATTCTTCTCAGACTGAGATAGGCAAATATTGTTTAATTTTATTAAAAGGAACTGTTGCAGTATGTAAGCTGTTCCAAATATAGGTAGTCTTTAACGTACGAGTGGTCACTTAACAACTGTTTGAAGTTATCACAGATTTTTTTAAAAAATGTTACTTCTATCCTAATAGTTACAACTGATGCATCACCTCTTCCAGTCATGTGATCACATTTCAGGCACTTGGCATGTGGCTTGCATTTATAACCAGTTGCCCTGTCCCATATTCACATGATCATGTTTTGCAACTCTTTTGCCATCTTCAGGCAAAAAATGCTCATCAGATAAAATGAGTTCACACTTACAACTATGTGGTTTGCTGAATAGCCAAATAACAACCATGGTGACTCAATGACCTGGTAAAAATGGCTGTAAAATCAATTCTGGTCACATGGTACCTCAATTTATGACTATAATGGCTTACAGCCAAAGATCCAGGCCACTGTGGTTATAAGTCAAGGACTATCTGTACAACTATCTTTTGCAACTGATTGTTGGTGATTTTATGAATGTCAATGGTTCTCAAATGGCTCTCTGGATGTTTTGGAATTGCACCCAAGGAGCTTACTACTATTAGTACTATTGATGTTTTCTTTTGCTAGAATTGTTCTACTTTTTTTTGCAGGTCTTTATATTTTATGATTTTCTCCAGTTCATCATCATTATTATTATTTCAAAGTAAAAGCATATACATGTTGAGAATATGTGTTTGACAAGATGGAAAAAAAAGCCATTAACAGAGAAAAGTGAGTGCTCCAATTGTTATAGAGGTTACTGTTATGCACAGAGATGTGAAGGTGCAATTCTTCACTTCATAAACTACATGAGTTTAAGCTGTTCTATATAGCTATTGCTAGAAACTACTGAATGCAACAGCATGCCCAACCGCAAAGCATCAAGAGTTTGGCTAAGAGTAGGATTACTAAGAGAGAACGGAAGCATGCCAGTTGGAAGAATTATGGACAGACAAAGAAAAAGACCACAGTAAGAAGGATAAGATACAAATATGATAAAAGCCAAACAACAGGACAGGTTTGGGGGATTTTTCCTATGGTAATCGGAACGTGAAACTGCACCTTACATACCTAATATCTATTAGATGGGGGAAAGGTAAAATGTTCACAATAGAATGCAAGGCACATAATTAAGTCCTGTAGTTTCTAAAAGAAAACCCAGCAATAGCACAAGCCAAGTTTCAAAGGTCATTTTAATGAAGAGACTTGAGTGTCAAAAAAGAAGTGTTCTGAAGGACATCTCAAGGAACTCTTAAAAAGATACTTGAATATTAGAGGCTCAACATCTTTGCCAGGTATGAACTTTGCCAGAACTCGTCTGGACTATTGTAACGCTCTCTACATGGGGCTCCCCTTGAGGTGCACTCCGAGGCTCCAACTGGTGCAGAGTGCGGCCGCGCGGGTGGTTATGGGAGCAACGTGGAGCTCCCATGTAACACCTCTCCTGCGCGAGCTGCACTGGCTCCCGGTGGTCTTCCGAGTGCGCTTCAAGGTTCTCGTTACCACCTTTAAAGAGCTCCATGGCTTAGGACCTGGTTATCTACGGGACCGCCTGCTACCACCAATAGCCTCCCACTGGCCAGTATGCTCCCATAGAGAGGGGCTCCTCCAGGTGCCGTCAGCCAAACAATGTCGACTGGCGGCCCCTAGGGGGAGAGCCTTCTCTGTGGGGGCACCTACGATCTGGAACGAGCTCCCCCCGGAGATACGGAGGATCCCGGATATTCGCACCTTCCGTCGCGCGCTTAAAACATTTTTATTTCATCGAGCTGGCCTGGCCTAAATCTTCTCCTTTTTAAATTTAAATTTTAAACACAAATTTTAATCTGTTTAATTATGGGGTATTTTAAAATTCAGCCAAATTATTTAATTCGTTTTAATCTATTTTAAATTTTGTATCTCTGTGTTTTATCTTCTGGCTGTTCACCGCCCTGAGTCCTTCGGGAGAAGGGCGGTATAGAAATTTAATAAAATAAATAAATAAATAAAACTGAGTGTCACTGGGACTGAAGCACAGAGCACTGTCTTCCAATTAGATAATACTTTGTTTTCTTTTATCTCAAGACTTGTTAGCTCTCTATACCAAGCTGCATATATTTTTTTAAAAACTACCTAAACTATTTTGAACTGCTTGGTTAATCTCTTGCTTCTAATATTTTGATTGTATATAAAGAAAAGGCATGTCCAGTTGGCAGCCAAGACTGCTGAAGTGTAGGATGGTATGGCCTTCTCCCAAAAATAGTAAGAAGCTGAACTAAAACTATCAGCAACTCTGGGCCTGGCAACCAATTGATTTCTCAGAGTTATGCAACATTGTATGGGCAGCAGATTAGAGCAAAACAGGGTGGATTTGAAGCTGATGCATGTTACATAATGCTTACATAAGGAACATTTAGACTCTAGACCACACAAGAAATTGGACAGCACAAATTGTAGAAAGATTTTATTAGCAGAGATCTAAATCAGAATCACTTAGCTTAAAGTGATGTACCACAAAAAGCCCCAACTACCCAGCAGTTTGTTAGGAAGCAGCCCTGGGCAGAGGGAGCAGGAAGTTGAATGCATATCTGAATGTAATCATGTAAAGTTGGGGAAAAAAAGATTTTTGCAACCCCTTGCCATTACACACACATGCATGTGCTCACACATTTCCTTAAATATTTTTAATACTCCTGGTGGAATGTCTAGCACATTTGATATTTACAATTAAAATAGCAACCAGACAAATTCATATGAATCTTTACAGAGAATATTAAGACTAACCTGATGCTTACAACAATTAATTTTATACATCGTGATTTAAATGGAAAGAGAAGTTAAAAATCAAATGATTTAAAAATATTATATAAAAATGGGTCCACCCTGATATGTCTTGTAGCTTTAGGGCACCCTCTCAAGTCACAGACTTGAGTAAGCGGGCGAGCAACAGGGCTTTACATTTTCAGATGCCAAATTTCAATTTCCTTGATCAATTAGGAACTGTACAATAGGTATGGTAATTATCAATTTTCTGCCTGCAGTAATGAGCTTTGGTATAAGAATAGAAATGCTAATGTACTCTATCCTTTAAAAAAAATCAATTTCCTCACACCTTCATTCTCCCCAAAGTTTATCTTATATTCAATAACCCCCTCACCGCTTGGAAAAACTGGTTCAGGCTAGTTAATACAATAATGCATAAAGATGTTTGAGTTTGTTGATCTCATCTGGTATCCATGGCAAGCTATTCTGAAAGGTCAAACTATCTGAAGGCCTTCACAGGAAGCTCTCAGGAGTCAAACATGGCAAACATGAGGAGGTCTGCACAAGTTTCTAAGCAATTATCTAGGCCTTTGTTGTGGCTTAGTGAGAGCTACAAAAATAAAATAAAAAGCTGGTCCTTACCTTTCTTCTCCAGCCTCAGAGCAAAAGGAGTCACTGTTACCTCCCAAATGAGCAGCACAAGACAGGATGTTTTCTTTTGAGAAAACATTGCTTCCCTTCTTATTCGATCCAAAACAAATGTCTGAACTGGAAAAGTGACTATTGCATTTTAAGTACATTGTATTCTCATAGGAATGACTTCTTTAAAGAAAGATGACACCTTTATCTTTATATAATACACAAATTAAACTTTGAAGGTAAAGCCAGGCAACTTGCATATAAAGTTAATGAATAATCGGTGAGCCTACATCTTCTTGGGGGAAGGCAGAAAGAAATTTACTTCATGTTAAGTTGCAACCCATACATTTGTGAAAGTACCAGAAAGTTCCAGCTGCTACTTTATTCACAACCAGCATTGTCATGTTTTTACTTTTTAAAAAGCCTTCAGATATCTGAAGAAGTCTATAGAAAAGAAACTTGCAGAAACTTCATAGTAAAGAAATTTTAAAAATCTTCAGCAATGAAAGTTCTCTGACAAGGAGCACCTTCCAATACTTTTTCTTTACAGATATTTTTCTCTGAGATCCATACTTAATTTTAACATCATAATATGCCTATGAATTCAGGAGTATTTTAAACAGGGATTCCCCCCCCCAAAAAAAAATCCCAGGAATTTTGGGGTAAATGCATTTCAGAATTACTCCAGCAGAAATTGAGGCAGCATTTTAAAAAGTAGCCTTTAAGGTGTTTAAGGTTTACAGAAATGTTAAAGGAGGCAAGCAATCTCTATTTTAGGGTAACATTTTCCATTCATCCAACAGGACTAGTTTCTTGGGTAGGCCAAGCATGGCTGACTATCACTGAAAACATAAAATATTTTTTTTTACACAAAACCTGGCTAACTTATAGCCAAACCCTAAAGCCCAAAGTTACATCACATAGGTAATTATTAATAACTTAATAATAAAATCCATCATTATAACCTGCTAGTAAAGAATATAATTAGAGGAGGAAACAACTTTGGGTTTTGGCTTCATAATGCCCTGCACAAATTAAACAGTGTCAGTATGCTACAATGCACAAAAGGAAGGAAACGCTCTGTAGGATCCTTAGCAGACATGCCATCAAACTCTGTGGGATGTGCATGACAGGTGGTTGGTTCTCTTTCCATTACAGTACAAGTGCATGTGCATTAACCCATAAACTGCTAGCTTCAAATCAAGCAGACTAATTTATTTGTTTCCTAACATGATAAATAAGGCACTGTACTTTGAACTGAAACTGCCATGCTTCCAGTTCAACTCCAGGAACTTTCAACTTTTCTTTCTCCGTGATATAAAAAAATGGTGTTCGCCTCCGGATGCAACTCAAATCGAAGGCTCCTTAAAAAGCAAGAGGGAGATGGCCTTTAGCCAGACCCAAGCGCCCCTCCCTCCTTCTCTGTTCAGCAGTGGAACTACTGAAAGAAAGAGGAAGAGTTTCTATAACACACTTCCTACCCAAGACGTTGCTACTTTGCATCCATCCGCCTGCGCTTGCTGGGTGAAGATTCTTTCTTTGCCCTCAACTTCCTCTTGCTCCGAGTTTTGTTCTCCTGAATTCGTTTCACTGATCTGGTGAGAGCTTTCTCACTGCTTGCCTTTTTAAGAGACTGACTGGGGGAATCTCGCACCATTTTCTCCTTTAGAGCCTTCATAAGCCCTTGCTGCTTGGAAAGCAGGCTGGCTTTTTGACTGGTACTGGCTTTCCCTATGTGGGTGGGAGACTTTTTTTTCCCAGGTCGTGAGTCAATAAGTTTCTTTGACTTCTCATTCTGAGAGGTGTGCTTATTATTTCTTCCTGCCGCTGTCTGCTTCCTAGTAGTTGGAGCTCCCACTTGCTTCACTTTACTGACTTTCTTGAGAGAGATTCTTTCCTTGCTTGAAGGACTCAACTGCCGCATGGCCAGTGTCCTGATATTCTCATTCGGTATCTTTTTTTTGCTTTGCTGAAGGCTGCTTTTAGCGGAGGTGTCCTCCTGTAACTTTCCTTTCCCTTTTTTCCCCTTTCCTCCTTTTTCAATCGGAGTGGATTTAGTAGGAAGTTGGATGGCTTTCACTTGCTGGGCCAACTTGGGGGACATCAAGGGTTTAATGCACATGCTCTTGTTGCTTGAACTGCTTTCGGCCAAGAGCTGCTTGGCCACACAGTCATGCCTCTCCTGTTTGACCACTCTATGGAATCCATGAAGTTTGCCTCTCAAGTTGGAATATTTCCTCAGGATCCGTGAGCTTGTCTGCACCGGCATGCTAGGGGAAGGCTGGATGCTCTTGGGTCCAATACATTGTGCCAAGCTGACTTCAGAGGGAGGTGTCTGCTTTGGACTGACAATCTGCTCTGACTCAGTCTGGTCACCATTCTCTCGAAGTCTGGTCCACAGCTTTTGGATCTTTATAGTATTTTTTGCTGGGGTCATAGCAGCAAACTTCTTTAAGTGTTTCTTTAGACGCTCTGCTTGGAGAGAACTGGGGTAGACGCTAGAAGAACCCTTTTGGAGTGGAAGCTTCATGAGAGGAATGTCTCCTGGGATACGTGTGTTCAACTTCTTCACAATGACCAGAGATTTGGTTTCAGTTGTCTCCATAAACCATTTGCAGATATTGGATATATCAAAACCCTTCATGAAAAGCATCTGAACAGGGGACAGTTTCTGGACTTCAGTGGATCCTTTAAATTTTCGAGTCCTCTTCTTGCTTTTCCAAATCTCTTTCAACTTGTCAGATTTATTCTTGACCTTTGGAGCTGGCTGAGCCTCCTTCTCCAGTTGAATCCAGCCTTTCTGGATCTTCATATATTGGGTATTAAAGTTAGTGATGAGTTCTTGGTTGTCTTCCTCAGCACACCATTCCACAAATCTTGGCTTGTCAGAAAGTACTTTCATGCTGTTAAAATCAATAGTTTTTTCATTTCTTGCATTTGGGTCGTCTATGACAACAGGATCTGCTGATGTGGCCATGATGTCAGAGTTTGCTTGTACAATTGTTTTTTCTGATGTATTTCTTGTGGCAGTGACCACATGAGCTGTAGTAGGGGTGTGCCTCAAGTTATAGAACTGTAAGGCTGGTTTCTTGCATTTCATTGCCTTCTCTGGCTGTGCATGCTTGCTACCAGGACATATGAAGCTACTTGTCTCATGCTGGTTGGACAATACTTCAATTATATTCATAGGGCCATCAGAATTCTCTAAACTTTCTGGCTTTAAATCTACTTGCTTTTCGGTTTTATCAGACATCTCTGTTGGAACATGAACACTTCTCTTGTCAGAATTGGCTTCTAAGCAAATTTCAAGCATTGCTGCTGGCTTATCTTTGTTATCTTCTCCATTCTGGCTTCCCTCTATTACAGATTCCTTTGCCATTAGTTTCTTATAGGTCTGCCTTATTGTGATGTCATTTTCATCATCTGCCTGCTGTTCAGTAGATTTGCTACTATCATTTAGCAGTGTTTGATGGTGTCTGTCATTAGGCAAACACACAGATGTTGCCCCATCAAGATGTACCTCTCTCTTAAAACGCTTAGCACCAGGACTTTTAGAAAGCTTTATCTGTAGCTGAGGAAACTGAACAGAATTGGAAGAACAGGGTTGTTCAGAACTGTCTTCTGTAGGCGCCAGAGACTGCTGGCTTCGAAGACAGCGATCCGAAACAATGTGGGGTTTTTTCTCCCGCCTTCGTTTTTTGTCTATGTTTGTTTTGGAAGGAGTCTCTTTCTTGTCCTTTTCTGATGTTTTGGGCTCTACTGGAGTTTCACTATTAACCTCCAGTTCCTCATCAGACTTGGTGGTCTCACTGATGTTTATTGTATCATTTACATTTTTCTCTCCCTTATCTTCATTGCCAGCCACAAGGGGCAGCACATTTTTACATTCAACAGAGAGTCCTTCTTTCAAATTCTGGGAATTTTCAATAGTGGTTTCGTGTGTGTTAGTACAATCCAAACTGAGAGGCAGCTTTGCTGCTTCTAAATTGGGAAGCAGCTGGGGGAGCTCCACATTCATTTTGATAGTTGCTACCACTGAAGATTCTTCAGAAAGAGTCTCTGAAGGTTCTTGGTCAATATGAGTAGGAAGTTCAGGCACCCCACCGGTAGGATGACTTACAGGAGACATGCTCCTTGGGCTGGCAACAAGCTGCGCAGGTGATACACTGTTGGAAATACAGGGAATCTCTGAAGGAAAGGTCATACAAGGGTCCAGAACATCAAGAGCGGGTGGTACTACTGAGGGTTCTGCCAAATCTATAGGGGAAAGTAGTGGGGGTTCTATAGATGGTGATACATCTATAACAGAAGCAGGCTCATCTAATGGAGGCAACATGTCCATGCTATTGGCTGATACTTCAGGCATCAGCAGATCCATGCTAACATGGGCTTCTGGCTCTATCAAAATAGGAGGTTCTGGGATAGTCACATTTCCCAAGAACAGAGAAGCTGATTTATCGTTAGCAGCTTCTGAGACAGGATGTACAACAGAGTCTGCTATATTGACACTATTTTCTTTAGATCTATTACAGTTATACGAATCTGAGCCAGAGCTATGTGCCTCCACGATGTCAGTACTGTCTTGCAAGTCCCCTTCATCCTCTTGAGGGAAAGAGACAGTCATGGTCTGCAGTGAAGACACAAACAAGCTGTCTTTATCTGAATGAAAAACTGGGCGGGGAAATAGAGAAACAGGCATGGTAGCTTGTTCAGCAAGACTAGCTTCTCTCTGCTTGAGGACACTGACCTCAGAAGAGATACTTCCATAAGAGCATTGCTCAGTTCTTATTTCATTGAAGGAATCTTCTTGAGTAGGGGCCACTGTGGAAGATCTTTGATCATCATTGCTATCCACAGCTTCAGCTGCAGCCAAGTAGCTGTCACTTGGAAGAGAAATGCCCTGGATAGGACTTGTTAGCACTTCAGGCCTTGTAGCCAGGACGTTCCCATTCTCCTGTGAATGCGGAGTCTTGGCCAAGGTGCGAATAGTAGGAAGCTCACAACATTCACCGTTGTAGTAATAGCCACGAGTGCTCTTCCTTGCTGTCTTTCTTGCTGATATTGTCTTTTTGCTCTCATAGTGACACTCTGTAATTGGTTGGCTAATATAGACAACATCATATTGATTATCATAATCATTTATTCTTAATCCTGAAGACTTCTTGCTTTTACGTGTACTTTTAGTAGAAGCTGAAATACTCTTGACTCGGGAGTGCCCATTGGTGGTTTTGTGCTGCACTACTGGCATGGAATTAATAGGCAGCCAAATGTCTTTGGCATTCTCCATGTGAGTCTTGTCACCAGGATGCATGTGGCAGACTCCCTTGCTTTTCCCTGAAGCCAGATAGTGATTCTCTACCTTTGATCTTGTTTCCTGGTCATTGATTTCCGTATCTTGGTGCATAAAGGCTTTGGAGCTGCACTGCAAGGCATTCTCTTTGTCTGCTCTCCGTGGAGAGCTAGCGGTGAAAGCCGTCTCTCGAGTTTCCTCTGGGAAAGCTTTGAAAGGGTTCTTCAAAGAACCCATCCTATTCTCTAAATTCTCCTCATTGTTTACATTTGTTGCTTTCACAGCTACATAGCCTCCCAGTAAACCTCTACTTTGCATCTGATCTTTGTCATCTTCACCTTTTCTAGTCCCCGTCTCTTGCTCAGTAGCAGAGGTCTGCCCTTCCAGATTTTTAATAGAGTGATGGGTATTGGAGGCAGTCAGGTACCCTTGAGTGGGACTATCTCTGGGACTTATAGAAGTTGTTCTAATAGTTGGAAGCTCAGGGAAATCTCTTCTGACGGAACTGCAATTTTCTCTTCTGTCTGTAGATTTCAGTTCTACAGCATGTTTCAGTGCATGGCATAGTATTCGCAAAGAACCACGGGCCTCTGATTGTTCTGCATCCAGCAATAGAGGGAGTTTTGACTCAGAGCAAGAAGTTCCATGCTCCTGATTCTCAATATGATATTGGCTACACCCTGAACTACAAGTAGACACATCCATGTTTTCAGGTCCAGATAACTGCTGGCCTTCATAGCCTGTTTGTACTTCAGTGCAGATGTCATTCAGGACACGGACGAAGTGTTTCTGGTGGTATTCGCAGAGTCTGACCATAATTTTTTCCAATGGAGATTTCGGCTGGCCAAGAGAATCTATTGCTACTGCCTGTGCTGTCTCCTCACTAGAGAGAGAGAGAGAGAGAGAGAGAAAGAGAGAGAGAGAGAGAGAGAGAGAGAGAGAAAGAGAGAGAGGGAGAAAAATAGTCAGTATAGTACAAAATTCAGGAACAAAATTCACAGCAAAATTGTCACAATTCTCTTCACAACTGAATTATTTGGAAAGACCATATATTTATATTCTACTGTAATTGAGCAAGTAGATAACACAAAATCCCAAACAATATTAATAGTATGCCTGGATTTCTTTTCTGGTTTCTGTCTATTTATATATAACTCAAGCATTACTACTACCTGAATATGACCCTATTTACAACATAATCCTTAAGAGGAGTGAATCTAATGAGGTGGGAGAAACAACCTGAACAAATTAGTATGCAATGACAAGCTATACAAACAGACCCAGTCTGGTATAAAAGCTTGGACTGGGAAGATCCAGGATCAAATACACCCACAGATGTTTACTAGAAAGCTTTTGATCAGCAATTACTCTTCAGTCTCTCTCAGGCCAACCTATTTCAGGGTGATTTTCAATCTGTAAAAATTGAAGGAAGGAGCACAACTTGGTAGGGGAAACCTTTACCTTTTTTTAATGTTATGCATAGTACCTTGAACTCCTGAAAGAAATGTGTGGTAGAAATCTAATTAGCAAAACTTAATAATTTAAAAACAGGCTTGGATAATATTTACAAAGTATATAACACCAGGTAAGCTATTTTCATTACTGTTGATTCTGAACAAACAGGCAATACAGCACAATGTATCATTCATGTGGTTAACAATCTCTTCAAAACATGCTGCAAGGTTTAAGTGCAGCAAAGACCTTAAGAAAATATAAATTCCTTCATGTGTTCGAAGTTTCCAGAAGTCTTCAACTAAAATCTCACCATTTTTTTAAAAAAGTAGCATGGAGGCATATTTCTAGGTTTATGGTTGGGAGGGAGAATGGCTTATGGGTGTTACAACTTAATGAATTCAGAAGAGCACAAATTTCTGGCCAGAATATTAGACCAAGTCTCCTCTCCCAAAGTAAGTGGTGAGGTTTTTCACTTTGATATAATTCAGTGGCCAAACAGCTTGGTGGGTGGGGAATACATCAGCCTAAAGAAGGCAGCAGTCATAACTTATTTAGCTTAATATTTATTCAAATTTACATATAGTATATTGCTCTAGAAAGCAAAAGGACAAATGAAATGTAACATTTTTAATGTTAAGCAGTTATTTAGAAACTGAAGAAAGGTACAGTGTAAAATTGAGTGAAGTATTGTTTCAACAGTAGAAGACAGAATAATAAATAGGTCTGTGTAGTGTTTTGGACTTGAAGGTAAATTAATGTTCCAGAGCAGATGGAGATATTTGTATATTTGAGGTGGACGGTTTTGCTTCAGAAAGTTGCAGGCAAGTATAAACTATAACAGCTTTCCTACATACCCTAAAACTTATTTTGCTTTTGGATATAAAGTCGTATTAAATCTCTGAGTGTTTTGCAATAAATCAAATCAATGAATCAATAGTTGTTTAACAGCAGAAACAAAATTATGTACTCTGCTTAAGTGAAGAAAGTTTGAATAAACAGTATTGGATTTTCTTTTGTAGAAACATGAAGTCTATCAAGTTCAGGTGCAGATACACATTTTAATTCTATCATTTGTGGTGGTGAATCTAATAAAAAAAAAATCTAATTGGATGTACAAGCCTTATATTTGTTGGCCTGTAATAGAAACTACATTTACAAAGTTTTCCATTTGGGGATTTAACCTAATCTGTCCAGCTCAAAGGTAATATAATAAGTAATAAATTTAATACAGTAAATTTATGAGATAAATAATGTGATAGTTATGTTTAATAAGATACAAGAAAGGGAGGAAGAAAAAAAAAGGAGCAGTCTAATTAGAACCTCGTAGTGCCTTAAAATAATTTAGTGTTCTTAAACATAGAATAACTAATGAAAATTAAGATAAGATTAACCATAAAACCTGCTAGTATACAAGCTGATAAAGTAGATCAGTGTAGTAAAAATGGAATGTATGCCCTCTATATACACAGATACAAAGAAACTATTATTGTGAAACCTTAGTATGCTCAAAGAAACAAAGGTCAAAGAATACAATCAGCACAAAATTCCATCATTATTTTAACTTGAGTGTGTGTGTGTAAATAATCTTGAGAATTAATTTTCCTTAGCACACACCATTTCCCACAACTTGTAGTTTTCTTGTTTTACAAACTCTTATGTACAATTCTTAAAAATAAAGAAATTATGACTAGCTAGAAGTTTATCTACCTTGTTTATTTGTTCTTTATTTTTTATTTTCATTTGCAACCTTTTTATGTACAAGTCTTACAAATAAAGGTACAAATGGTACTTAGAATCACATATATGGTATAGTTTTATATTTCTATTGAGTGACTGCAATCAACAAGACCTTATTAATACAAAACTCTGAAAAACCATGGGGAAAAAATCCTAGGGCAGAATTTAAATACTGTAAATAAGGGTTCAATCACAAGCACACTGGAGAATGCTAGACTCTTATCTTGAACTTTAATTTTAAGTAAATTTATTCTAAGGCTAGCTTCATGGACCAATTTCAGTGGAATTACCGGTAACCTCATGTTTTTGGCAGCTGATAGTGCTTCTTTAGGTAACAAAAAGCTTGAAAGCTCCATGACAGAACAGAAGTGGTTCTAGACTCCAAGCTACGCTTTTTATTGTTTCATAAATGTAAACTTGCTGTATAATTTGTAGCCCTAATTTCCACCAATCCCTTTAAGAAAAAATAAAACCCGAGGCTTCCGGTTTGCTCTTCGTAGCCACCAGACGGTCTCTCGGGACCGCCAGCCCCTTCGCCTGTAAAGAGCCGCCTGTACAGCGCAAAGGCGGCTCGAAAAACCCCATTTCCAGGAGGAAATGTGGGATAGAGCAGGTGAGTGTAGGTAGAGCTCTCCGTAGCCCCCGGGGTTTTTTTTTACTCTTGGGGGCGGGCGGAGGAAGCTCCCTATAGCACTCGCCGCCCGCTCCGGGCGTTGGGAGACTTCTGCCTTTTTGCAGAACAAGGCTACGAAGACAAGCTTTTTAAGATATTTAACAGATTAACTAAAGATGATGAGATTTGGATCTGGACCTGTGACCCTAAATTGCAAGTATTAATACTTATTTCGCAAAGGATATTCAACAAAGTAAAAAAGACCTTTTAAAATGGCGATTGCCGAAACTGGAGCAGGGAAGCTGAAAAGAGAAAGTCCTTCCGTTTCTTATTAAGTTACAAAGTAGCAGAATAAATGCTCCTGGTTACATTTGAAGGGATATGAGCTGGACCTGTGACCCTGAATTGCAAGTATCTCACTTATTTTATAACAATTATTGAAGAAGGAAAAGGAAAAGGAAAAAAGAATCTTTAAAAAGGGCGATTGCCGAGGCTTGAGAAGGGGCTGAAAGGGAGAGTCCTTCCGTTTCCTATTGAGATACAAAGTAGCTGAATAAATATTTTTGGCTACACTTGAAAATAAAGCTCTACTTTTGTGTTTTTTCTCTTCCTGGAGATTTGATATTGATCTTGGTTGGAAAGATTTTTTTTTCCTCTGCTGCCTCTCTTTTCTTTTTTTTTAAAAAAAATAGTTTGTCTGTGTTGAAATATGGTATTAAAGCCGGACAAACAAGCAATGGGGGGGGATTCCCCCATTAACAAATTACGTGTCCAAGTTTTAAAGCTCCAGTCTCAGAAAACTGATTTTAATATAATTGAATTTCTTTTGGAGGAGATTGTAAGAAGGGATGAGATTGTGAATCAGAACTTTGAAAAATTTAAGCAGGAAATTAAAGAATTAGTGCAATTAAAGTTTGATATTCTGGATCGAAAGATTATAAAAATGGCTAATGGCTTTGTAGAATTTATGATTAAGTTGGATGAAAATACTAACTTATTAGAGTCTAAAGTGGAAGAAATTGAGGACAATTTGGATAATAAAATACAAAAAATTGAAAATGATTTGACAAACATTCAAGACAATAGCTCAGAAGAAAAACCTAAAATGGAGGTTGAACAAAAGTCTTGTAATGCAGAAAATTTACAACAACGGATTGAAAGAGAGGTCCTAATGGTGCATTACAATTTTACAGAATATGCGATCAGACTCAGAGGTTTGCAGGAAAATAACAGAGATGATTTAAGGAAAATATCTTCTGAAATTCTGGCTGGGATTTTAAAGGTTCAACCTGAGGAAGTGTTTTGTAGGATTGACAGAGTGTACAGAATAAACTCCTGGATTGCAAAGCAAAGGCAATTGCCTAGAGATGTGGTGATTTATTTTACAGATAAAGAAATTAGGAATAATATTGTGCAAAATTCCTTTAATTCTACTTTGCAATTGTATGGAAGAAAGATATGGATTTACAAAGAGCTCCCCCCCAAGATGTTAACGGAAAGGAAGAAATTTGGTTTTCTGGTGACTGAGTTAAAATACAGAAATATTCCATTTAGGTGGGATGCCCCAGTTGGCATAATATTGAGATATCAAGGAGAAAGATACCAATTAGATATTGTTGAAAAAGCGGAAGAATTTTATCAAAAATTTTTGAAAATGAACTTAACATCTATAGGCACAATACAGGATAAGCAGAAGGAGTTGGAAATAAAGGGAAAACATCGAATTACAGAGGTTGCGGTAGACAAATTGCCTTTGGATTCTCTCGATACCCCAGCTGGATTATCTACAAATATGAGAGAAGCGGCATCTGATTTCAACATGATGATTCACCAAGTTAAAGCAAGTATGGAAATCAATTAGCTGATATACAATTGGCAAAAAAGAAATATGAGATACAAAAACAAAACCAACAAGATCAACTTATAAAGCAGAATGAAAACCGATCAGCTGATATACAACTTGTAGAAAGGAAAACAGGATGGAAATTAAACCCACAAAAAGAAAAGAAAAAAAGAAATAGGTCTCATAAAAACAGAAATTTCTAAATTAAGCAACGGTGAAGCCAGTGATTTTAAAA